ACTTATATCTTTTTAGACACAATACCCGAGAGCGTCCTTTTTTGGAATTTAAAAATCCTTTGTTATTTCAGTTTTAGTTTTACTCCCTTTCACATTTTCTCATAAAATACATTATTTTGTTTCTTTTCGTTTTCTTACCATGATTAAGAATAAACAAGATTTTCGATTTTGAATATCTTCTATTATATTTTGAGCGTGACTTTTACTTATAAGAGATATAGATTTCTTTTCATTTCAATCAATCGTACTTTGTGTGATTATTTTGAAAACCGATTATAAATGATCATAATTATTTTACTTGAGCAAAACTATTTAAGAAAAGAAATAATAGAATAAAGGGAATAACCGTTTTTAGCTCGACTTTTTTTTTTTTGAAAAAAAAAGTAGAGGTATTGTTATAGTCAGGTCGGCGTTGCCGTTGCCGTCTCCGTTGCCGTTGCCGTCCGAAAACTTGTACCTGGATCATAACTTTTTTATTTCTTGGTGTATTGTCTTCATACTTGGCCACAACAACCCTTGGGATAAGACCTTTCAGTAGACCACACTAACCTTGACCTTCATCCATAAATGACCTTGACCTTCAAGGTTAAAAGTCCAATTTTTGCTTGTTCTGCCTGTTATTGGCTGTTACTTTGTTATTTTTTGAATGGATTGTCTTCAAACTTGAACATAATAATCTTCAAGGATATCCCTTAAAAATAACCAGTCAGACCTTGACATTCACTCATCAATGACCTTGACTTTGAAGGTCAGATTATTGAAATTTTCATTTTTTTGGCTATTATTGGCTGTAACTTTGTTATTTTTGAATAGATTGTCTTCAAACTTGAACATAATAATCTTCAAAGATAACTGTTAAAAATATACCGAAAGACCTTGACCTTCACTCATTAATGACATTGCCTTTGAAGGTCAAATTATTGAAATTTTCATTGTTTTGGCAGTAACTGACTGTAACTTTGCTATTTTTGAAGGGATAAACTTCATATTATAACAGAACATCTCTTAAGGACCAGACCTTGTTGTTTATCAAACCCAAAATTTGCTTGGGCTCTTTAATGACCTTGACCTTGAAGGTTTATATTACTGAATTTTCTCAGATTGTGCATTTATTAGTGTGTGTGTATGTATAGTATATGTATTATATATATATATATATAAATCAAATATATATATATATATATACATATATATACATGTATATAATTGCGTCATGTTTTTCTATTTTTAGAATTTGTGTCATTTTTTTCTATTTTTAGAAATTGTGTCATTGTTGCTATTTTAAGAAAATGCGTCATTTTTGTTCTATTTTTAGAAATTGCGTCATTGTTTCTATTTTTAGAAATTGCGTCATTTTTTCTATTTTTAGAAATTGCGTCATGTTTTTCTATTTTTAGAAATTGCGTCATTTTTTTTCTATTTTTAGAAATTGCGTCATTTTTTCTATTTTTAGAAATTGCTTCATTTTTTTTCTATTATTAGAAATTGCGTCATGTTTTTCTATTTTTAGAAATTGCGTCATTTTTTCTATTTTTATGCCCCCCTTCAAAGAAGAGGGGGTATATTGTTTTGCTAATGTCTGTCTGTCTGTCTGTCGGTCCGTCCGTCGGTCTGTCGGTCTGTCCGTCGGTAGACCACATGGTTTCCGCTGATTATCTTGAAAAGTATGTATCACAAAGTCTTCATATTTCACATAGTGATTGGTCATCACTAGTAGATGACCCCTATTGATTTAGGGGTCACTAGGTTAAAGGTCAAGGTCACAGGGACCTTAAATGTCAAAATGGTTTCTGCTGATTATCTTGAAAAGTATGTATCACAAAATCTTCATATTTCACATAGTGATTGGTCATCACTAGTAGATGACCCCTATTGATTTTGGGGTCACTAGGTCAAAGGTCAAGGTCACAAGGGCCTTAAATGTCAAAATGGTTTCCGCTGATTATCTTGAAAAGTATGTATCACAAAGTTTTCATATTCCACATAGTGATTGGCCATCACTAGAGATGACCCCTATTGATTTGGGTCACTAGGTCAAAGGTCAAGGTCACAGGGACCTTAAAATGTCAAAATGGTATCCGCTGATTATCTTGAAAAGTATTCATCACAAAGTCTTCATATTTCACATAATGATTGGTCATAACTAGTAGATGACCCCTAGTTATTTTGGGGTCACTAGGTCAAAGGTCAAGGTCACAGGGGCCTTAAATGTCAAAAGGGTTTCTGCTGATTATCTTGAAAAGTATTCATCACAAAGTCTTCATATTTCACCTAGTTATTGGTCATAAGAAGTAGATGATCTCTATTGATTTAGGGGTCATTAGGTCAAAGGTCAATGTCACATGGGCCTTAAATGTCAAAATGGTTTCCGTTGATTTTTCCATAATTGAACACTTCCATGTACCCATTTTTGGCAAGTTTATGTAATATAATTATCAATTATGTGAGTCAATGGTTAGAAAGGGGGGTATATGTGTCGTTCGACATTCTTGTTAGAAATTGCGTCATGTTTTTCTATTTTTAGAAATTGCGTCATTTTTTCTATTTTTAGAAATTGTGTCATTGTTGCTTTTTTAGAAATTGCTTCATTTTTTTTTCTATTTTTAGAAATTGCGTCATTTTTTCTATTTTTAGAAACTGCGTCATTGTTGCTATTTTTAGTAATTGCGTCATTTTTTTCTATTTTTAGAAATTGTGTCATTGTTTCTATTTTTAGAAATTGCGTCATTTTTTTCCCTATTTTTAGAAATTGCGTCATTGTTTCTATTTTTAGAAATTGCGTCATTTTTTTCTATTTTTAGAAATTGCGTCATTTTTTCTATTTTTAGAAATTGCATCATTTTTTCTATTTTTAGAAATTGCGTCATTGTTGCTATTTTTAGAAATTGCGTCATTGTTGCTATTTTTAGAAATTGCGAACTGTTGCTATTTTTAGAAATATGCTTAATGTTTCTATTCATATATATACAAAATATATAAACAAAACTAATGTGACAAGACAGACCAACTAAATTTATAAAAAGGAAACATCAATATATGTTCAAACCTTTCTATGTTTGCGTTTAGAAAAAGTAAAAAGTCGAGCGTTGCCCCCGCCCGGCGGTGGCTCTTGTTTTCTTGGTTACAATAACTCGTGCTAAAATATCCTAAATACAAAACTATTACGTACTGCTATAAAAATTCATTTTTACAGCTGTATAGAAGTACATACAACAATTTATGGTACCTCTGGCCGAGTTTTTTATCCACGAAAGTTGAAAATGCGGGATCTATTTACGGATAGCCGATATTTTAGAGTTCGTTATAAAAGTGTAATTAGTCCCCTACCGGTTTACCGGAGGGGACTTTAGGTTTACCCTCCGTCCGTCTGTCCGTCTGTCCGTCCGTCCGTCAGTCCGTCCGTCCGTCAGTCCGTCCGTCCACAAAACTGGATCCCGCGATAATGCAAAAAGTACTGAAAATATTTTAATGAAACTTGATATATGGATAGATGGCAGTATGGAGATTATGCACGTCTTTTTCTTTTCTTCCTATGTTGAAAATTCTGGTTGCTATGGCAACAAATAGACTGAAAATATGGCAAATTTTACACATAATCTGGATCCCGCGATAACGCAAAAAGTACTGAAAATATTTTTATGAAACTTGATATATGGATAGATGACAGTATGGAGATTATGCACGTCTTTTTCTTTTCTTCCTATGTTGAAAATTCTGGTTGCTATGGCAACAAATAGACTGAAAATATGGCAAATTTTTACACATAACCTGGATCCAGTGATAACACAAAAAGTACTGAAAATATGTTTATGAAACTTGACATACTGGTAGATGGCAGTATGGAAATTATGCACATCCTTTTTTACATCCTATGTTGAAAATTCTGGTTGCTATGGCAACAAATAGACTGAATTTCAAGATTTCTGATTCTAGTTTTTAAGTTTTTTCACTATAAGTTCTTTATTTCTTAAGGTATTTTCTTCAAACTTTAAATATAAGTTGCTTGTCATCAACCACATCATATGTGACAAGGTTTACAACTCTAGCACAAAAATTATCAGAATTACCTCCCTTGAACTTAAAATTTTCATTAAAAATTTTTTTTAATAACTTCTTTTTCTGAATGTATCTACTTCAAACTTCATATAAAATTTAATGTTTCTTATTGTCACTCAACATTTGTGAGTGTTCAATACTCTAGCAAGACTATTAGGGAGAATTATGCCCCTTTTGAACTTAGACTTTTTTTTGAGAAATTGGTAATTTTTACTCCAACTTCTTCAATCATGATAGGATTTTAAAAATGTTATATTTTGATAACAGGGATGTTTAAAAAATAACTTTAGAGTGTCCTTCAGTCCGTCTGTCTGTACATAAAAACTGTTTCCTGTGATCACTTTTAAAGAACTTTTTCAACAAATTTACTTAAAATAGGAACCTAAGTGAATGGCCAATGGCCCTTCAGAATGTTGCTTGGGCTCTTACCGGTAGGGGACTTATGGATTGCTTGCAATACTATGATAATTGCTTGTTTTCTATACTTTTAACTAAATTGGGACTAAGAATTGAGTTCCTTATAAGCCATAATTCCTTATAACCATGTTCGCTGTAACCGTATATATTTTTATATTAAATAAAGAAGGGCAAAATTTGGGCCGAAAAAATTGTTCCTTATAAGTTATAACCGGAGGTTCGCTATAACGGTGTTCGCTATAAGTGAAGTTAACTGTACATTAATTTCAAAATTTGAAATCAATCTGTCCTGAATATCCTAAGACAGATATCATGTCATTGTGTATGTCACATACTTGTTGAACATGTATTCTATATAGAAAAAAAAACCTTCACATATAATTTCTTATATACAGGAAAAGTAGTAAAAAGGACTAAAAAGGTGGTAGATAGGTTCATATTTTAGTCGTGGCCTTTGACATAGACAGTTTATAAAACTAGAATCTATAAGGAATGTACAGATACTGATGGTTTACTTTGGTTTTCAGTGGAGCTGATAGCAGACATGTACGAGAACGCACACAAGAAACGGCCAGATAATGAGGAGATATTAACGGCACTGTTCATGGCGTACGTCCGTCTGAGTAATCACAAGAAACAGCAGCAGACGGCAATGACTCTTCATAAACTGAAACCAAATAAGAACCCATACTATTTCTGGGCCATCATGAGTATTGTGATGCAGGTATACATTTGATCTCCTTCCACATTCAGATTTATTTCGCAGTCGGCAAGGAAGTTGTTATTTGGTATTTGATTGGCCATATAACTTTAATTAGCAATAAAAAAATGCGGTAAACATGTATTATGAAAAGTTAGTCACTGTGGATATTGGAATAGATTTGAAACAGGAATAACAGTTTTCAGAATGTAAAATGATCTTTTTATTCTTAGATGGAATTTGTTGTCTTTTTAAATTCCCTAAGCAGGATGTAATTCGACAGACCTTTTATTGCAAAGTGTTGTTTAGACCGACTCTTAATGAGTTATTGTAAAGAAACAATTTTTCAAGGGTCTGTCGGGACTTGCATCATTTTCATAGTATTGAAATTTGAATAGGTTTTTTTTCTTCAAAATTCAATTGGGAATTTTCAGGCATTATAGCAGATTGTTTTACCTCTGATTGTTAAGTCGCTGAATCCATTGGGGGACGTCTGGATATTACATGATGAAACACAAGGTTATTAATATAGAATATATCAACTTGGCAACAAGCTCTAACATAATCTTACGGCAATTAGAGGATCTTTTGATGTTTTACAACAATCCGTATATTTGATGTTTCTCTATTATTGCCTATATGTTATTATTGATCACACATTTAATGTTTTTTTATGACAGGTCAATATTGTCACAGGTGATCAGATTACTGCTTAACATTAAATGTATAGGAAAAAAGTGTACAATATTTTTATATGTATTTGACTGTCTTAAAAAAGTTATCCATTTGCATCTAAACAATAATATAATGGAAATTGTAACTAGGATCTCCTTTCATAGTAGGAAATTGGAAAATTTGTTTTACAAATTAGAGTTTTATGAATAAATAATACTTACCTGACATTACTATATGGATTTCTCTCTCTTGATCCGCATAATAGACTCATATCCGGAAGATAAACTTTTGACCTCTAGTAGGTCACTTCCGGTTGAAACCCATGCTTGATTCAGTATCTTTATCTGGCGAAAGTGTTCGCCAACAAAATACTAAATGACTAGTGGGGTAGGTCCCAGGGTGGGTAACATGTAATGTCAGGTAAGTATTATTTATTCATAAAACTCTAATTTGTAAAACAAATTTTCCAATTTTATTTCATAAATAAACTTACCTGACATTACTATATGGAATTAATTAGATTTTATAGCAGTAATGTAGGTGGTGGGAGTCATTTAACACATATTAATCTATAAATTCCCACCAAAGATCTTAGTAAAATATACATTTGGATACATACATGCATATGTATTAATAAAATATATTTCAAATTTGATAATTTACTCACCACATAGAGTAGAGTGAATGCAGCAAGACTTGATGAAGACTTCATAACAATATTCTTCCCAATTCTCATAAATACCCCATGAAGTACAAGTACTTCTTTATGTACAAACACATCCTATACAAGTACTTATTTAAGTACATAAGTAAAAAATCATAACAACCCTGCGATCCGCAAGATAGGAGATACCACACATTATATTCAATATATACCCAGCTGTGTGCCATCACAGCTTCATGAAATCTACATTTACTGGCTTTAAGTAGTATTTAGTGAAAGTGGTCTCCCTTGACCAATCTGCCGCTTCCATAATCTGTTGAAGAGATGCACCTTTGAATAATGCCCATGAAGGTCCAATGCTACGTGTAGAATGTCCTCTAATTTTCCCAATAGATTTTTTCTCCTTTTTGTAACAAAATTTGATAATGTCCACTAACCATCTTGAAATTGTATACGCTGTCACTGGTTTATGTGGTTTTTTCATAGATAAAAATAACTTGATAATATCTTGTCCATTTTCAGAAATACGAAAAGGTTCAGTTCTTTTTAAATAGTAAGTTAAACAACGTTTAGGGTTCAAAAACTTGTTTGGCAACGCAGGAACAAAAATGTTTTTACCACAATGATTTGGTCTATCCTGCTTAGATAACCCTGGTCTAATAAATGTAAGTCCGTGTTTTTGAACATTAACAGAGCCTTCACCTAATTGTAAAGACTGTAGATCGCTGCAACGTCTAAAAGTTGTTATAGCCAGTAAAAAACAGGTTTTCCATGTTAAATACTTCAATGGTACATCTCTCAAAGGTTCAAATGGAGCTTTTTCCAGACATCCTAAAATGAAAAGAAGATTCCATTCAGGCACAAGTTTTTTAATTGGAGGACGTTCGTTAAAAACAGCTTTAAGAAGGTGAATAATAAAAGGATGTTGACCTATAGGAATATTCTCCACAGGTGCTAAAACTGATGATAGCATGGATCTGTATCCATTAATAGTGCGATATTGTAAGCCTTTTTCAAATAAATGTGTCAAAAAGTCTGCACAATCAGTTAAAGAGGCTGTATATGAATCAATTTGCCGTTCACAACACCAGCTACAAAATTGTCTGAACTTAGATTTATAGTCTTTTTGAGTACCATGTCTCCAGGATTTGGCCAAAAGTTTTCTTGCTTTTTCAGAAAGGTTTTTTGACATGAACTTTCGGTCGATAACAACCATGCAGTCAGACTCAACTTCTCTGGGTTGGTATGAAGAACCCTCCCCTTGCATTGTGTTAAAAGAGTCGGAATGCATGGAAGTCTCAATGGACATGCTATCAAGAGATTTAGTATCTGTGTGTACCAATGTTGTCTCGGCCACTGTGGAGCAATGAGAATCATAGTGCATCGGTATTTCTTCAGGTGACTGAGAACTTTGGGAATAAGAGGCAATGGCGGGAACGCATACACAAACATGTTCTGCCATGCAATTGACAGGGCATCCTGAGCAAAGGCTTGTGGATGGGGAATCCAAGAACAAAACAGGAGAGTTTTCTTGTTCTTGTGAGTGGCAAAAAGATCTATCATTGGTTGACCCCATAGATTGAATATTTTCTCTACTACAGCACTGTTCAGAGACCACTCTGTTTCCCTTATTAGTTCCCGACTCAAAGTGTCTGCTAACACATTCTTTATACCCATTATATGAACTGCTTTTAACTTGATATTGTTCTTCAGAGCCAAATGCCATAAATCCCAAGTTATACTGTTCAGTTGAGCAGACCTTGTCCCCCCCCCCCCTGATGGTTTATGTACTGAAAAACTGTAGTATTGTCCGATTTGACCAGTACATTGCAACCCTTCAAGTGAGACAGGAACTGCTGAATACTGAACATCACTGCCATCATTTCCAGACAGTTTATGTGTAATAACTTCTGTGTTATGGTCCACTGACCCTGACAAGTAAGGTTGTCCATGTGACCACCCCAACCCCATTTGCCACTTGCATCATTGGTCACTGTAACTGGAAAGGCATCTTTTAGAAAAGCTTTGCCCCTTGCTATGTTTTGATCCAATAACCACCAATTTAGATTTAAAATCAGCCGATGAGTTAAAGGAACCACATGAGAAAGAACCATTCTTTGTGGACTCCAATGCTGAAGGAAATGTAGTTTAAATGGTCTCACCTTGCATTCGGAATCATTTCTAGACAATATGCAATTGTGCCCAATAGAATCAGATAATGTCTGGCTGTTGTTTGACCCGCCAGAATGTTTGACACAGATTTTTTTAACTTTTTTAATCTTTCTAGAGTTGGAGAGACACTGCCATTTATCAAATCGAACTGAGCCCCTATGTAAGTCAACGACTGAACTGGTACTAATTGTGATTTGTTTTTGTTTACAATGAAACCTAGTCGATAAAGGAGACTGAGAACTAGTGCTCTGTTTTTTTAGAAGAAAATCTTTCTTTTGATTTACCAGTAACCAATCGTCCAGGTAACTGGCAAGACGCACATTGAGCTTTCGTAGGTGGGCCACCACTACAGATATTACTTTGACAAAAACTCTTGGTGCACTTGTCGGACCGAAACAAAGTGTGCGAAACTGGTAAACAACACCTTTGTATTGAAAGCGGAGATATTGCCGATGACCCTTGAATATCTTTATGTGGAAATATGCGTCTTTTAAGTCTAGAGTGAGAGCCCAGTCTCCTTTCTCGACAAGGTTCAAAACTTTTGATAAAGTGTCCATTTTGAAATGTTTTTTGTGGAGATACTCGTTGAGGGGTTTCAAGTTTATGACTGGTCTCAAATCCCCAGTCTTTTTTGTCACTAGAAACAACGTACTGTAAAAACCTGAATGAATTTTGTTGGGAGACACAATTTCTATAGCTTTTTTGTCTAAAAGATTGTTTATTTCTGTGTTTATAACAGTTTCGTCCTTTAAAGGAACTTTTGTAGGTTTTATACCCTGAAAAGGTGGTATTTTTAGAAACTCCAGTTTGTAACCGTGTTGGATTATTTCTAAAACCCATTTTTCTGTGGTTATTTTCTCCCATTCTGGAAGGAATAGTGAAAGTCTCCCCCCAACGGGTATCTCCGGCCATTTTGCAATTATACTTACAGAGTCATTTTCCATCTGATTTTGCCAATTTTCCTCTACCTGGAAAGGATGTTGATCGTCTTGGGTAACTACCGAAACTGCCCCTTGACTTATATGATGACTGTGGTCTGCTGTCAGTTTTATCTCTTGACAGTCTTGGGATACGAAAATTATCCCACTTAGAAGTAGAAGCTGACGGCCTGTCAAAAAATCTATCTGGAGTAGGTCTTTTACTCGAATCTGGTTGGGCACCCGAGAACTTCCTTTTAAAGCCAGACCTTTTAACATCTGGAATTAAATCGTCAATCTGTTTCTTTTTCTCTTTGCGAGCTTTTAACAAAGACTCTAAACCGGCACCAAACACACCCTCACCAGTTAAAGGTAAATTAGAAAATTCCAAATTGTCTGGTTGCTCAAAAAGAGCAGTATCTGTCATAGCTACCGATCTTCTGATAACATGGTGGAACGCCCCTGAACGACCTAACTGGTCAAGAGCCTTAGTTGACATGGCAAACACATCTTTAACATGTTGGGTTGCCTTCTCTTTATTGAAATTGTCTGATTCCAGAAACTGTAGAAAATTACCTAAGCTCTGTTGGATGTACATCTGTATAATTAAACCTAGACGAGCTGCTTGTTGCCCTTTGTAAGCAATTTTTTCTACCATTTTACAAGGCTGAGTAAATAAAGTCCTGCCTTTACTTTTAACAAAAGAGGCTCTGTTACCAAAACGTTTAGTTAAGCAACATTCAACTAAAGAATCAAGAGGAGGCACCTGTAACCATTTTTCTGATTCACTGTCCACAGGAAAAAGATCAAATTTCCTCAGAAAAGGCAGACAGAAAATTTGGCTCTTTACATCTGTAACTGTTATTTAACACTTCAATTTGTGATGAATCTAACACCAAACCATCTTTTTTTTCATTCTTCTTAACCAGGGCATCATCCCCAAACATGTCCACGAGACATTTCTTTTGCATGTCTGATAAATGTTCTTCTCTTTGTGAAAGAGCACTTGCAGAATTTTCTAACTCACAGTCTGATTTTTCGGAGTCATAATCACGTGGGGAAATTTGTCCATGAGCCATAATAGAAACTTGATCTTCTAAATCACTTTCATTATAGCTAAATAATCGTCTTTGTGACGAATTTTGTACCGAAACCGTCGACTTGTTTGTCAAGTCCCTAGAACTTCCCTCACGAGGGCGAGACTGTTCTTTATCTAACATTTTGTGTAACATGTCTTCAATAACAGAAAAACGTCTACTCAATTCATTATACTTAGAATGTTTTTTACCCTTTTTCTTCTTACTTGACCTTGAATGGTGAGGAATTTCACTCGATCCACGAGGCGAGTGCGACGACGTGTTTGTCACGTCGGAACCACTATCCGAGGCAAGTTCTTCTTCCGCCGATTTATTCGACGCCATAATCCAATAGAAGTTGAATAAAACGAAACTCAACTAATAAAGTAACTTTCTAAGTCCAAAGACTTTGAAAAGAGTCTAAATTCACGGAGATGCGAACACTTTCGCAAGATAAGAGAAACTGAATCAAGCATGGGTTTCAACCGGAAGTGACCTACTAGAGGTCAAAAGTTTATCTTCCGGATATGAGTCTATTATGCGGATCAAGAGAGAGAAATCCATATAGTAATGTCAGGTAAGTTTATTTATGAAATAAAATTCAAGGTTTGGTTCAACTTATCAACAAACGACAGCTTTCTGTTTGAGGGCTAAGGGAATTTTTTGGACTTATTTTATAGTCGGTATTCGGCCATATTATTAATTATTTTTTCAATTCACAGGGAAAAAATCCCAATTGAAAGTTACAAAATAAAAATATTGATAAACCAATTCTAAAAAATCATTGAAAGTAAGGGCTTCTTCACTGTTACGGCGCTTAAATTTTTAAAGATGCCATCCTAGGGAGTGATTCTTTGCAATCAAATTAATACTGCAAAATTTAAGTCAAGCATTTTTTCCCAGTTTTTAACAAAACATCGCTGAAATTCCCAATTCCATGGGTATAGGTCATGTTCCCAAAACCTGACAAAAAAAAATCTGGGGCCAATTGGGAGGCTCTTTAAGAGCTAGGAGATCCACTGTGATGTTTACTATTTCTTTTATAGTCAGGGTAAAAAAAAAGATCTTCAAACATGTTTTAATCATTTACATTTAAGTTTTAATTTTTGTTACAGGCTCACAACTGTGCTGACCAGAATCTTGCTAGAAAAATGTTCCTACCGTTGGCAGAACGAATGACAAAAAAGTATGTAGAGGACAAGAAGATAGAGGCAGAGGCTGGTAATTCAGTTTTATTTATAACCACTCATCGCCATGTAGGGGCCCATTGTGAGAATCCCCTTCTATGTCCTCTATGCCTTTCATCATCAAATTTGTGTAGAAGACTTTCCCTGGTTTGAATCTTGAATGTCCCGTTACTATTTTAAGATACCTAAATATAAAGTGTCATCACCAAGTTAGTATAGAAGACTTTTCCTGCTTGAATCTTGAATGTCCCGTTACTATTTTAAGATACCTAAATATAAAGTGTCATCACCAAGTTAGTATAGAAGACTTTTCCTGCTTGAATCTGGAATGTCCCGTTACTATTTTAAGATACCTAAATATAAAGTGTCATCACCAAGTTAGTATAGAAGACTTTTCCTGCTTGAATCTGGAATGTCCCGTTACTATTTTAAGATATCAAAATATTAAATTGATTACCAGACAGTATCTATAAGGGGCAGATTACTCACATGTGCAAAAAGGCATTGCTTGCTATTCAGTCAGTACATACATTGAAATTTCCCTTAAAAATGATGAATGGTTTAGTCCAGATTGAAATATGTGCAAGTCCATTTAATATGTTTATTTTGGCTTGGGTTAATTTGATTTAGAAGTAAGAACAAATTTAGTTGATAACAATTGATAATTTATTGATAAGATAATTACAGCTTTAAAATTAAACTCTATTCTTGCCATTCATTTATAAATGTAATTGATTTTTTTCAGAGGTACAAATGTATTTAATCATTCTGGAGTTGATGGAAAAATGGGAGGAAGCCTTAAAGGTGCTAGAAGGACCTCTTTCAGGTACACTGTTGCAAATTTAGTTACGAAAATGAAAATGTAACTCAAAAATAATTAAATCAAATATAAAAAGATACAAGTCATCTTACTAAATGTTGTATCAAGAAAATAGAACAAGATTTTATCTTTTATCCAACTGGAACCAAAATTGTATAGCCTTTGTTATCAGTATAGGGCCAGGCTAGCTTGCACATTAGATTAGTCCAGCCAGGGCTCTATACTGTTGGTTGCTGAATATTTGTATTTTGATACTGAACTACCAATAACATGGAATGGACTGTTCCAAATTAATAGCAAAGCAGATCCATTACTGAAATTCAGGTGGTTAATGGTTAATATGACTGATGGTAAATATTATTTTCAGAGAGATTAGTGAGTGAGTTAAACTTTAAACAAACCAAGTCAACAGAACTGTATTCAAAACTCGGCAAATGGTCACAGACAAATGCAGAGTACAGGAAACTACTCTGTGACAAGTAAGTAAATATTTCATAAAAATTAACTATGTCATTGAACAACTAATTGACCTTCTAGATTCAAAGCAATTCCCAATATCCTGGGAGATCAAGTTCACTTTACATATTAAGCAATGTAAGTTTTAAGGACCGATGAATATCTGGTAATTCTACTACTAACTTTGATTTTAGGGTAGTGGATTGGTGAGTACTGATTAAGAAACAATATCTACTTAAACTTTGATGACATATATGTTATATAATGTAACTATTAGAAGAAGTTCATTGAAGTATCACATATGATCACTATGGATAAAAGAACTCACTGAAATAAATATGGGCATCCGTGGCCGAGTGGTTACGGTCGTTGACTTCAAACCACTTGCCCCTCACCTCTGTGGGTTTGAATCCCGACAGGGACTTTGGATTCTTTCATGTGAGGAAGCTATCCAGCTAGCTTACGGAACGTCGGTGGTTCTACTCAGGTACCCGTTCGTGCCTGAAATAATGCACGGAAGGGCACCTGAGGTCTTCCTCCATCAGTAAAGCTGGAATGTCGCTATATGACCTATACTGTGTCGATGTGACATGAAACCCAAAACAAACAAACAAAACTGAAATAAATGTTGCCACTTGTTCATACTGTGTTCACGGTAAAAGAATTTATATATTACAGCCCAAATCATATGGCCTGGTGGAAAGAGTACATAAAGTCAGCGCTAAAATTGTCTACAGAAAAATGGCAGCCAGAAAAGGACAGGTAAAGTAAATTATCTTTTTACCTTTATTGTTATTCACATAGTTCTTGATAGATAGGTCATTTTAGGTATATATAATAATTGACATGTTGATAAGAGGGTATTCAGAATTAGGATGTTAATGATAGTTTGAAAAGGACATTTCCTACCATTAGGTTTATATATATATCACTTTATGTTAGAGGTGGTTTTAAGCTCGACTATTCGTAGGGCAGCGAAAATCGATTTTAAAATTGAAGATAAGTGAATTTTCTGATTTATTATTGTGATCAATTCTTTTAAAAAATGGATATATATATATCCAAAGAATGAACTATATAATTATGCATGAATGAAAAAAAAAAAATCATTTTATTTTCCAGTACTGATGTAGTAGATAATACGGAAGAGAAGGTTTTACTATTTATAGAAGAGAGCCGGAAGAAAAGTGAAGGAACACGACAAGATAGGGGTTCATATCTGGCTCACCTAGAGTTGATTAAACAAATACAAGAATTAGATGGATCGCCTTGTCGGAAATATGGTAGTCTTACGTTTAATACATATAAACATAACCTGTTTTCCGTTATTAGATCCTGTGTTTATCCATCAGTTTCAAATGTTGATTTGTCTGATAGTTTCTGTTTTGAACTTACATCTACAAAAACTAACCATTATGAAACATAGATCTGAGAAATTTATGTGCCTTAAAGATTAGTCCTAGTCAAAAAGGAATTGTTTTCAAAGGTGATAATGAGAATCCAGTTTAATGATTTCAGCAAAAACAAAAGCACAAAAAAAAAAAAAAAAAAAAAACCACACACACCACCCCAAAATAACAACAATGGTGTTGCACTTATTGATTATGAATATAATATTTAAGTGCAATCATTTCTTGTTAGTTAGATAGTGCAGATAGTGCCCCTTAAAGGTACAATGGTCAAAGTTTGTTGGTACCAGGGAATAAAGGGTTTGGGAAAAATCCCCAGTTAACATTTATTAATAGTTTTGACTTAATTTGATCGCCATTTCTACTATGCCTTGATATCTAAAGTTCATATCATATGTTCTACTACTTGAATCATTTTGCTAGGTGATCCTGTGGAGTTACTAGAGAATTATTATGACCTGTTTGGAGTGTGTTACTGTTGTTTTAGTGATATCAGAACATACCTGGAGGTGTTAGATTCAGAAGAACAAATTAAGGTAGTTTATTATTTATCACATGACTTCCAGTTTATATTATGATTTGATTAAAATGTCTAGCAATTTATAATATGATTTGATTAAATTATCTAGCCAGCTTACATAGCATCGGTGGTTCTACTCAGGGTGTCCACTTAAGGAATTAATAAAGTGTCAAGGGACACATAAAGTGGTGTTCTTCTTCATCTGGTAAAGCTTAAAAGTTACTGGATGACCTTAGTTATTTAAGGCATGAATCAGCTCTCAAGTAGTACCACTGAAGTTCCACGAGCTAGCTGAATAGCTCGTAGAAAAGAATCCAAAATCCTTAGCAGGATTCAAACCCACAGTGTTGAGGGGCAAGTGATTTGAAGTCGATATCCTTTACTCGGCCATGGATGCCATGAAAAAAATGTAAAAAATATTTACTTTCAGACTTATTCATAAGCTAATTGTCCCTATTGATTAACACTTTTATATTGCATAACTACTGTGTATATACTAGGGAAATTTCTAGAAATTGAAAAAAATCAATTCTTGGAAAAAATTAGATTTATTTTTGAGCTTTTATGCAAAGTCAAATACTTTTTATGGAAGAATGTACATTAAAATGATTAATTTCATGTCCAAATCATTCCATATGTAAATAAAGACAAACTATGTAAATAAAGACAAACCACAGTAGATGAGGTAAACAATTTTTGTAACAAAGCCAGAGGTACTGTTCTTTTAGGAAGCTGAAGTGTTAAGCTTGTTTTAATTGATTTTCTATGATATTTTTTCTGCTGCTCAAATACAACAGAAATATAATTGTCTGTTATTTTAGATTAGAATCAGGGAAAATATACCAATTATTAACGGCTTAGAAATTGTGATATAGTTTAAATTTTGGCTATTTTTTCATGGATAGATCCAAAAAAAACTATGAAAAAAACCCCAAAAGATTGTTGTAAAATGTATTTCAATATGGAGCATTTCCTTTCTTGATTTCAGTTAGCAGAAAGAATACAAGCAAAGAATGTATTGATTGGTGAAGATGATTCAATTATTTATGTAGAAAATGTAAGTACTTTCATGTCAATCAGAAACTTACCTTTAATCTTACAGTAAAAATAGTCAGAGAATTTTACAATTTTGATTCTTACACTTCTTATTTTGTATGGAACAGTCTGATGGTATTTCAAGGTATATTAGAATCAGAACACAATTGAAATTGACCTGTCAACAGAAGGAGTCTTAACAAAGTAAATGGAAGTTCAGGCTAATTACATGACTCGAAATAATTCAACTGGATGGAACCCATACCCATTCCTTAAAGGGTGAAACAAATGCTAGATTGATTGACTTGTGTGTAATATAATCAGTTTCATGTTCTATTTAATTGGCTAGGATTCTCATTGAACTCAAAATCCATAGCAGGGATAAGTTCATTATACAGTCAGAAGTTATATGTTGAGACACATAGTAATCTTAAAAACCAATGTTGATACAATTTTACGCTGTTCTATTTATAGATCAAACAAATGCAGCGGCATTTAACATCGTTACAACTGTGTAGATGTTTAGGATGTCACGCAAAACTTAGTAAAGATGAAAAATTAAAATTAGCCAAAGAATTTGTAGATAGACATAAACATGGATTACAATTCGGTAAGTTATTTACGAAATATAATTATGTCCTCGCAATCGAGGGGTGTCCATGACCGAGTGGTTAACGTTGTTAACTTCATACCACTTGCCCCTCACCGCTGTGAATTCTTCCATTTTAGGAAGCTATCCAGCTAGTTTACGAAACTGAGGTCTTCCTCCACCAGTAAGGCCGGAAAGTCAACATAAGACCTAAACTGTGTTGGTGTGACGACCAAACAAAACCCAACCAAAAAAAAAGTCATTTAAACTTTACTTTGAGTGAACATTATTTTTTATAGCATGTTTGTGATAAAAGATTGTAGCTTATTTGAATCTCTTTACTCTCTAATAAATTAATCAGTACTGGTGTCATATTAGGAAACATGGTTGTGATCCAAGTAAGGCTCAAACCAATGATCCCTGGGCTGAGAGGCAGACATTTAATGTTTGACTTTATAGATGAAATAAATGTTTAAAAGTGTTAATTTGCCTTATTTGTACATAGCAAACAAAATCATCAACATGTTATCTGTTAGATAGTCAATAATGTCTGTAAAAATTTTATTTTGTACATATATTTATGTTTCTGACAACATAGTTGGAATATATCTTGTAAAAGTTATATATGTATTAGTCTTGTTGATAGTTGACACATGGATTAAGAATCTTTCATATGGAAACAATCAGCACTATAGGGTATTGTTGAATACATGCATTGCATATTTTCCTCCTACTTTGCTTTCACTTTGTCTAGCAAATGTTGTACAACTTTGGAAGGTAATTTTGAAGTTGTTAATGTAAGATGAATGTGTAAGCACTGTTTGGATAGTGTTAAAGATTTAAAAGTTTCATTTAATGCCTAGTATTTTAATCTTTAAATATTGAATTAATGATTACAGGTAAAGAGTTACTGACAACAGACCTGCAATACTGTGATACTTACTTACTCCTAGCAGTAGCTTTAATGTTAGACGTCTGGCAAAACCATGGTGAGTGCTCAAACAATTGTATATGAGCCACGCCATGACAAAACCAACATAGTGCGTTTGTGACCAGCATGGATCCAGACCAGCCTGGGCATCCGCGCAGCCTGATCAGGATCCATGCTGTTCGCTTACCAACACTATTACAAGTAGAGAAACTGATAGCGAACAGCATGGATCATGATCAGACTGCGCAGATGCGCAGGTTGGTCTGGATCCATGCTGGTTGCAAACGCACTATGTTGGTTTTGTTGTGACGTGGCTCATATTAATTTTGTATTTTTTGTGTGTTTGTGTATGTAGCAAATGATGGAAAAGTTATAAGAAAACATAAACACTTGGTGATCATTACTAAACAAAATATAATTTTAAAAAATCTACCCTTGCTAAACATTTGGCATCTGTGGCCAAGTGGTTAAGATTGTTGACTTCAAGTACCTTGCCTCTCACCTTTGTAAGTTTGAGTTGTGCCAGTGTCTTTGGATTCTCTTATGTGAGAAAGCTAACTAGCTAGCTTACAAAATGTTGATGGTTCTACTCTGCTTGTTTGGGCCTAAAGTAATGGACAAAGGGTCACCTGAGGTCTTCTTCCACCAGTAAAGCCAGAAAGTTGCCATATGACCTTTACTGTTTTGGTGTGACATTAAACCCAGCCAACCAAACATAACATGTAATTAATGATGCAGTATAAATTGTTAGTAAGTTATCTAATTTTAAAGTTTGCACTTACAACTCATGTAAGTTAACAAAAAGAAGTCAAAATATGCACAAATAGCCCTTACTGCATTAGTAACGCAGTAGAAAAATAGTTATAAATACTGAAACATCGGTCATTCATCGCTTATAATATGTAAATTATTACTAGAATTTTGAATCCTTTTTATTTTTCCTAAAATCATAGTATATTTTCTCAGGTTTGATTTTATTGAAATATTTTTGCTCATCTGGAGGCGTGCAGCTTTAATTATTACACAGTAAAATACTTTTCTATTTGTAGGTGAACGTGGTGTTGTTTGGCAGATTATAGTTTTACTGGAACAAGGATTGAAGGCCAGTCCTTCCAGTTTCCAGATGAAATTATTGTTGATTAGACTTTATTGTACCATGGGTAAGTTTTCATTTCTTATTTAATCATGAAGAGAATATTTTACATTTGTAAATTTTATTTGAAGTTTGCTTATACTGGTTATTTCCTTTTTGAAAATTAAACATTGACACAAGATTTCATATTCTTAGTCCAATTGTATTCTGATACAACACCATTATGCTGATATATTAAGTGTAAAACTAAATATTTTACCCTTGACATGTTGATAAAACATGAATATTTTACCTTGACATGTTGATAAAACATGAATATTTTAGCCTTGACATGTTAATAAAACATGAATATTTTACTCTTGACATGTTGATAAAACATGAATATTTTACTCTTTACATGTTGATTAAACATGAATATTTTACCTGTGACATGTTGATAAAACATGAATATTTTACCCTTGACATGTTGATAAAACATGAATATTTTACCCTTGACATGTTGATAAAACATGACTATTTTACCCTTGACATGTTGATAAAACATGAATATTTTACCCTTGACATGTTGATAAAACATAGGTATTTTACCCTTAACATGTTTGAACAGTACATTTGAAGTTTAAATGATTTAATATATTTCAGTATTAAAAAATGGGCTATATACAGTATAGAGCCTGGTCAGTTTGCATGTATGTACAGGCTGGCTTGGCTCATTACTGATGAAAGAAGGCTAATCACTTTTGGCTCCATCAGGTTAAAGGGTAAATAAATGGTATATTAATTATTTCAGGAGCATTTGGTCCATGTCCTGCCCTTTATGACGGTATGGAGATTAAACATATCATGAATGATACTCTAGGACATATTGTGTCAAATCATGTTGGTAGACTCGGTCATTTCATGTCGGCATGTGCAATGTATGGAACTATGTTACGCTTCTTCACTGTCAACCATAAAGAGGTATTTTCTGTTGGATTGTATTCTTTGTTCTATAATTGAAATCATTGAATAGATAAATAAAATTTATTTTGTTAGCTATTATACTTGTCTTGATAATAAACCAAACAGTGGTATTTTCTAGAAATTTCTAGCTCTATTAATTGTTTATTTATTGTAAAAACTGTATGCAGACCTTGATTTCATAAGGTATAGAGACTTTTCTCTTAAGTATTTTTGTTTATTTTAAGTACCCCTTACCCTGCTGAGTTTGTGAAATAGAATGCACATGCTTTGAATATTAAACTGTCCTTGTATTTTTAAAAGTTTAAAAATCTTTAAAGATTATTGAATATTTAATGTAATCCGGGTCTGTTCATTTTGCACAGCTGTGATCAATCTCTGTACTAATAATGTAGGTAAGACATTGTGTAGCTTGACTAGCATTCTAACAGTCAAATGGTTGTAAGTTTTTCAACAATACTTATCTTGCCTTTGAAAATGAATTTCATTATATTAAATGTATTGTTTTGCAAAGGTATGGCCCTAATTATACTGTCTGAAATATAAACACTTGGAAAAGAAAACTTTTGTATTCACAGTAGCCTGATATAATTTGAGTTTTTTTCCCCATTTCAGACTGCAGAGTATTTGATAGCTTCTTACAAATATGGATCTTTTACAAAGGTAAGTGGCTTTAAAACAAGATTTAGATTGTAAATATTTAGAATGTTTTTTCTTAAAAACATGATTCCTTGGAATATGGTTTTGAAATTGTTGTGTACATTTGCATTGGAGAAGATGTAACTAGTAATTAGCCGAGTTGTTTTCTTGTATGTTCATATTGTTGTTTGGTACCTAACACTATAATGTTGGTAATAAGGTTGCTGTTAGGTTTCTCTGTACAATTTTGGGACAGACTATGCAACACTTTGTGTAAAGAAAGATCTTAAATTTTCTGACATGTTTAAAAGTGTGTATATAAATAAGACATTTGAAATAATGTATATTTTACTTTACTACATTTTACTTCAATTGAAATATATTTTACTTAATTTTCATTTATTTCTAATTCACTGTAATATATTTTATTCAAACAATTTTACTTGAAATAGTTTACTTTATTTTTCATTTATTTTACATCACTTTAATGTATCTTACTTCACTTGTAATATACTACTGTATTTTGATGTATTTTACTTCACTTTAATATATTTTGCTTCAATAAATTTTACTTCAATTTAATAACAGATTCATGAATTTGTGAAGTTCCGAGATAGATTACAAAATTCACTACAGTATGCCAGTGCTACAGCAGAAAGAATGCTTCTAGATCTTGTTCTAGAAACTAATAGGTAATGTTAACAAATTTGTATGATTTTAACAATATTTCCTCTATCCGAAAATTGTCAGAAGGAAGTTCGTATTTTTAAAACTACGAACGAAAATGTTCCAACCATAGGTGCTGCTGTGCATTTGTATGTAGTTCTTCAAGAAAAACAAAATACTTTCAGATTCTATCTGATGCAAAATTAGAGGCAACAAGTACATGTTTATTCACTTCTTTTAGCAATATGTCTAATGCATAAAATGTTTATAAAATTCTTTGTCTTAAAAAACAAACTATGATTATTTTGGACTTGTCTTATGTATGTATGTCCTTTTTTTGTTGTTCACAGTCATATAAGTACAGAACAGATGGTAATGTACATGGAGATTGACCCTGCAAAAGGTTTGTGTTGTTTACTGGACTCTGAACAACATGGAATAAGATTTTCAAAGGAACATGCCTCCAGATTCATTCTAGTTTTTACGCAAATCTAAGAAGTTATTAATTTGACTCAACTGTTGTCGGGTATATTTTACTCAACTGTTGTCAAGTGAATTTGACTCAACTGTTGTCAAGTGAATTTGACTCAACTGTTGTCAAGTGAATTTGACTCAACTGTTGTCAAGTGAGAAAAGAAATTGATTTGTGGTAGTCGTAGGCTTCTGCAGGGAGTGTCCCTTAAAAATTGGTGTAAAGTTATGCTAAAAATGCCCAAACTCTGTTAGTAATCATGCAGAAATATGATATAAGAAATTGTAAATTTAGCCACATTCTAAATAAAGCAAGTGTCCTATGACATGGGAATGTATGTATTTATAAATTTCTAAAACCTATATTTTTTTCTTCAGTTTGATTATTTGAAAATTAATGATCCGGAGGTTTTTACCTTTAAATCTCTTCCATATGATTTGTAAGACTTGAAAATAGAAATGTAAAATTATTACAAGTTTATGTAAATAATTGAATGATGGAATTTGAATGTAACAGATATGATATTGTAAAATGTGAATGTCCATTTTCTTGTCATGGTCTATGCTATAAATATGTACATGAAAATTGACTAACATCTGGATCAGGAGTAAATTGAAATAATTTTATGCACAAAAAGTCAAATATAAATCTTCAGTAAATTATTTTTAAAGTAAATATAGATTTGATTATGTTTCATTTCAGACAAAACAAATTTTGATGAGCTATGTGATAATCGTGATTATTCTGTGATTTTGAATTGGGATCCTAGAAGTCTGTGTGACATGAAACAAATACAGCAGCATTCATATAAAGAAGAGGTGAGTCAGTTATAAAGTGTAAATTTTACTTTTATGTAAGTGTGTTATATTTGTGCTAAATGGGAGAAATATGTAGCCAAATGATTAAGAGAGGTGACTTTCAAATTCTTTTCTGGGATTTCTGTAAGACAGTCTTCAATTGAATGAAGGGTAAGCACAATTTCGTACATTAATTCAACCTAGGTGCGAACTCGGTGTCTGAAATATTGTATAGAGGTGTACTAAGAATTTCAGCCACCTATAACCCTAAAAAACTTAAAAATCTTCAATATTGTTAGGTTTGACGTAACTATTAATTTAATAAAAGAAAAAAAAAAGATCAATGCCTGGCTTGATCAAAGACAGTTACTTAAAGATAGAAATATAAGTTACCTTATGTTGCTCTGTTGGTTATAAAGTAGGAAGAGCTGTAAATTTTGTTTATTAATGTCTTTGCCTCTTATTTCATTAAAGGATATAGAACTATGTTTCTGTAATACATATCTGTACATTTCATGTCACAGATTGCATGGTTAAAGGTACGGAACCTTACGTTACGGATTCTTGCAGCGTCTGTCATGTTAGGTCGGGAAATAGACCATGATCATCAGACAAACAACGGCCTAACAAAGGATGGCAAGAAACCTATACATTTAGTACTACAAGACCTACAAATGCAGCTTACAGAACATATACACAGCTGTGAGGGTTGTTATACTCAGGAATTTAAGGTATATGAACAGCTTGTACGGTATTCATTTTTGTGTAAAACTGTTTTAACCCTTAAACGTGATGAATTTTTGTAATGGATTTGTCCTGCTTTAAATTTGTAACATTCCATCTGAAGTAATCAAATTTTTTAAAAAATTGGACATGCTGGCAGTTCCTGGTCAGACTACAGAAGTGCAAGTCGAATTGGCTCTATTTGTGGCAAAGGCCAATTACTTTTGGTTCCCGTAAATTAATGGTGAAGTCCATTAAAAGAAAATAAAAACATATGACATTTTGACAGTATGCTCCTTCAAACCAACATAGTGAAGTTCAAAGAATTTATTAAAAGCACAGTTGTATTCTATGTTGGTGCTAGAATGCAATTAGCAAATTATTTTTCAAGCTTCTACTTTGTTTTTGTTGATTTGTTTCATACAGGTCATTATACTTTGTAAATATGTTTATTGTTCATTTAAATATTCATGCATACTAAAGTGTCTCAAAGCTGTAATGAATGTGTCACATTGTGACGATGTAAAATTTTTATTAAATTTTTTTATTATTTTCTTTTTCCAGTATCCAATTCAGGGACCGTTTCGAACACGGCTGTGTGTGTATCTACAGGGTAGCTTCTATACAGTGTTCTTAGAAATGTTAGATAATGTAGTATATATACAGAGTCTACAGGACATGGATGTAGGTAAGTTCTTCCATACCTTCTGCTGCTCATGTCTTAAGATTTTACCCATGAGTCCCGGGGCAAACCAAGATCATTTGGCACTTTTATCCTGTCTGATCATGGTCTGTACAGTTTGCTATTTAGTATTAGAGCACATATTTTGAATGATTCTCTAAAAATCATTGTCTCTTCCAGAATAAGAGACTGACAAGTCCATTTAAGATATTTGGCATGGTCAGGGTTAAGCTTTTCATACTGGTAGCATTAATGAATTGCCAAAGCTGCCTGTACGGAGTTCTACTAACCAGAAAATGTTTGCAGACTAACCAGATAATATACTTTTGGCTGTTACCATTTTGACATCAAAATCTTTGAAATTTACAGTTTTTGAAATCCAAAGGTTAAGTCCATGTCACAAATTTAGCATGGAAAAGGATATCATATCATCCCTTTTCTGAATTCTAGTTAAGGACTCCCATCATGTAATTTCTAGTTAAGGACTCCAATGAAGTTTTATGGTTGCAATAGTAATTTAACAGATTACGGACTGAAAAGTGAAAAAGTGAAAAGTGAAGTACAAACCATAATTAGACGACAGGTGCCTGATTAATTATCTTGGTCTGCACTGACTACTGACTGGTGACATGGGTAGGATCTGTTGCTGACTGCAGTCTCAAGCTTAATAACACTTTATAGGCATTTGCATATGTGCCAATAAATTGAGATAATAAAATACACATCATTTTGTAAAGCCCATGCAGTGGATGATTTCACTTTGTTTATAGTTCTCAAAAATTTGTGGAATTTCACTGTTATAAGTGGAACTGATAGAGATGTAAGTGTTGTGCTCAACTGTAGGAACTTAGTAATGGTAAAATTTGATTGAATTTACTTGGTTTTATTCCTACAGATAATGTGGACAGTGCAAAAGAAGAAAAGCTCAAAACCAGTGTGCCAAAGATGTTGACAGGTATAATTATGACACAAATTTCCTTTCTCTCTTGTGGATGGTGTGAAGATTCTAAAATGAATATATGTTTTATCATAAGTTCATCAGTTTCATAAGCAATTATTTTAATGTTTGAATGGTGAGATGTTTTCACTACTCATATGGGATAAGCAGCGGGTCACTTATGAAGAAATTGATAATTATTGTTAAGTTATTAAGGAAAGCTGGTTTGTGGCCAAAAATGTGTTAAAAAAAACGAACAAACAACAATTATGTTAATGTTTCATTGTTTTGCTTTTCTTTCAGAGGTGTTTGAGAAACACAGATGTAGTTTACTAGCAGATAATGATGATAAGAAGTTCATTAACCCATCTGTCATAGAAAACATGGTTCTTGTAGCTGAAACCGTCTCGCATTTATGTGTACTGTTAGGGGTGTGTTATAGAATGTTAAAACCAGTCAAAACCGTGCTGTCCAAACGGAACAAAAAGAAGAAAAGCAACACTATTCCTATGGTGAGTATTTTGATATTTAAGATATTGTTTCTTATAAATAGATATAGTGAAGAAAGTGGGAAATATTGGTGCATTTTAACCTTTAAAAGCCCTGCTTGACACAAAAGTGAGTTGCCTAGATAGGGCCAAGCCAGTCAGCATGTCATTGCAGTGTGACAAGGCTCAGTACTGTAGGGTGGACAACTTAAAATCTTCATCTTGACATCCCCAAAACTGATAATTGACAGTTCCAAAAAAGGAAGGTGGATGAAAACATTAAAGGAACTTGGCAGGGTAAAGGTTAAGGAATAGTATGGTACTTTTATGAATGTAATCTGTTCTGTAAGACCGCCTCCGTGGTCGAGGGGTTAGAGTCGATGACTTCTAATCAAGTTACCTCTCTGGCGTGGGTTCGATCCCCGGGAGATGCTTTGGTAGTTTAGCGCGGAGGAAGGTAGTCTAGTACTGGTGTAACTCTCCAGGAACGATGGTTAGGAAACTACCCGCCTATATGACTGAAATACTGTTGGGAAAAGGCGTAAAATGAAACAAACAAACAAACAAACTGTTCTGTAATGTACTGTAACATGGTCTCAGGATATTTTTAACTTGTACTTTCTAAGTTTTATTGTGTTAGGTGCGTCTATGGCCCAATGGTTAAGGTTGTTGAATTCAAACCACTCCACCCTTACCACTTGAGGTTTGATTACTGCCAGGGACTTTGAATTCTTCAACCAGTGTAAGACCTGCCTACCTGATGAATTATCAGACTGTATACTGTTGTCACAAATGAGTACATTGATATTAAAATCCATATATTCTTTATTCAAATGATAATATAAGTGGTGCTTTTTCATTAAAGGCAAAGGATGCCTAAAAGTTGAACTAGTGTTGGGAAATCACTCAATTTTTAGGAAATTTCAAAATTCAACTGGGAATTTTCAGCTGGTTTTGTCATTAGGGGAAAGGCCTATAAATAACTTGGCCTCTTTTCTTTCTTTTTGCACTGCACTTACAAGTGTGACTATAAATTATGTTTTTTGTTTTTTTCTTTTACAGCCATGTACATTTGAGAATTATAACTTCCTATTGAAGGAAGTGGAGGCTGTATGTCAGGGGATACATAAGGCCGTGACCGAATTAGACCCTGTGTTCCTTTCCTTAGATCTCAGTAGCTTAAAGCTATCACAACCATTTGCAGAAGATGAGGTTTGTACAATGTAGATTATTTATTGAGATTCTTACCCTGTATGGAGACCTCTTTGAACAACCTGTAAAAGTTTTGTTTCAACTATGTTGTGCTTTGGCTGATGTTAATGTGAGTACCTATAAAGGCTTAAATGTTGATGTGTGAAAAAGAAAATATTGTGATTTGAGCATAAGAATTCATGTTTTACACCAGTCTAAGTTACATATATAGGTTGCTGTATGCTAGAAGTAATGATTATGCTAGATGAAGTTATTATATGAGAGATTATTTATGTCTGAGAGCATGTGATTATGTGAGAGGTAATAAATATATGAGGATTTGTGATTGTGTGTGAGAGAATTTAATGTGCAACAGATCCTGAATTTTCTGTCTGTTTTGTTGATTTGTAGAGGCGATATATAGGGATCACTTCTCTGTCCGTCTGTCCATCTGTCCGTCCGTCACAAAACTTGTCCGAACTACTCCTCATAAACTACTGGTGCAATTTCATCCAAACTTTACAGGAATGATCAGTACCAAGTCTAGTTGTGCATATTGTCAGCATTTTCTGGTTCAATGATTTTTGTCAGAGTTATGGCCCTTAAATAATTTTTATTTTTAAAGTTTGTCAGACTACTTCTCTTATACCACTCATGCAATTTCAGTGAAACTTTACAGGATTGATCTGTAGCTCAAGTCCTTGCGCATTTTGCACGGGTTTTCCGGTTGAATGATTTTTGGCCGAGTTATGGCCCTTTGATAAAAAGGTATTTTTTCTGTGTGTTGCCAGATACACAAAAGCTTGTCTGGACTACTCCTCATAAACTACTGTTGCAATTTCATCCAAACTTTACAGGAATGATCAGTACCAAGTCTAGTTGTGCATATTGTCAGCATTTTCCGGTTCAATGATTTTTGTCAGAGTTATGGCCCTTTAATAGTTTTATTTTTAAAGTTTGTCCGGACTACTTCTCTTATACCACTAATGCAATTTCAATGAAACTTTACAGGATCGATCTGTAGCTCAAGTCCTTACGCATATTGCACGGGTTTTCTGGTTGAATGATTTTTGGCCGAGTTATGGCCCTTTGATAAAAAAAACAGTTTTTTTTCTGTGTGTTGCCAGATACACAAAAGCTTGTCCGGACTACTCCTCATAAACTACTGGTGCAATTTTATCCAAACTTTACAGGAATGATCAGTACCAAGTCTAGTTGTGCACTGTCCGTCTGTCACAAAACTTGTCCCAACATGAAATTTGCCATCATGACCCGACACATGTGATCACTGATCGCTCTTGATAAAAATACTTAAAAACTAAAACTGAAAAAAAAAGGCAGCATGTATCATTGTGTATGTGTTTTTGTAACTTCAGGAGTATGCTGATATAGAGAGGGAGATGTGGAAGAATATAGAGACAAGTTATCAGCAATCATTTGTTGAGGTGACAGAATTCCTTCACAAGAAACTACAATATCTTGGTGGCATTCATTTATGATGATTCTAGCACTGTATATAGTGTAAATATAAAATGTTGGGCGGAGCATCCACAGTATGGGCGGAGCATCCACAGTACATAGTGTACATGATAGTGTCAATCATTTCCTGACAAATCAACAAATCATGGTTCGGCACTTAAAGTGTCTGTGCTTGATCTTCATAACTCTGTTGTTCAGGACACAGATTGGATTTTTTGTAAGAAACAGTGCAGCTGAATGTTAAATTCTGTGAATTTTAGCAACTTTGCATATGTCTGAAGTATAGTTTTACAGCAGTACCTTAAGAATGTATGTTTTTTCCCCAGGTTATGTTATAAACGCGTATGAACTCTCCAGCTTCATTTGTTGGCATTTCCCCTCCCCCTCCCATTGCATTTGTGATATATGTTGAACCTTTTGTTTTTTACCTGTTTAATTCTGTGACAGCTAGTGGCAAACACAAATGACCTTTGCAACCAGTATAACCCCAGGCCAGCCTTCATGTCCATGAATTCTGAAAAAGGTGCTGTAGTCTAGTACTGGTGCAACTCTCCAGGAACGATGGTTAGGAAACTACCCGCCTATATGACTGAAACAAACAAACAAAACCTTAAACCACCAGGACATAAGAGGGCAAGCATATTGCACTGTTTCAGCAGAGCTAGAGTTTAATCTTACCCTGCTGGCGGCATGAATATACCCTCACCACCTTGCAGATCAATATCAGCCAGCACTTCCATGTCATTTATCATGGTCTGCACTGTTCACTTAACATTCAGTACACACTTTATTGTCCCCCGCCTTTTCAAAGAAAAAAATGGGATATAGAAATAGGCTCCGTCCGTCTGTCCCTCCGCCACACTTTCATGTCCGGTCCATAACTTTGTCGTTTATCAAAGGAATTTGAAAATACTTGGCACAAATGTTTATTATAATAAGACGATGTGTCATACACAACAACAAGACCCCTACCTCCAGGATCAAGGTCGCACTTGCTCATTCGATGTCAACATAGTCTATTTGAGGGTATATGTCGTGTCCGGTCCATAACTTTCTTATCTTTGAAGGGATTTTGTAAATACTTGCCATAATTGTTCACAATAATCAGACGATGTGTCATGCGCAAAAACCAGTCGCCTACCTTCAAGGTCAAGGTCACACTTGGAGGTCAAATATTAACATAGTCTGTTACAGGGTATATTTCGTGTCCGGTCCATAACTTTCTTATCTATGAAGGGGTTTTGTAAATACTTGCCATAATTGTTCACAATTATCAGACGATGTGTCATGCGGAAAAAGCAGTCACCTACCTTCAAGGTCAAGGTCACACTTGGAGGTCAAATATTAACATAGTCTGTTACAGGGTATATTTCGTGTCCGGTCCATAACTTTCTTATCTATGAAGGGTTTTTGTAAATACTTGCCATAATTGTTCATAATAATCAGACGATGTGTCATGCGCAAAAACCAGTTGCCTACCTTCAACGTCAAGGTCACACTTGGAGGTCAAATATTAACATAGTCTGTTACAGGGTATATTTCGTGTCCGGTCCATAACTTTGTCATTTATCAAAGGAATTTGAGATAACTTGGCACAAATGTTTGTTATAATAAGACGATGTGTCATGCGCAACAACCAGACTGTACCTTCAGGGTCAAGGTCGTACTTGTTCATTCAAGGTCAACATTGTCTATTTGAGGGTATATGTCGTGTCCAGTCCATAACTTTCTTATCTATGAAGGACTTTTGTAAATACTTGCCATAATTGTTAACTATAATCAGATGATGTGTCATGCGCAAAAACCGGTCACCTACCTCCAAGGTCAAGGTCACACTTGGAGGTCAAATACTTACATAGTCTGTTACAGGGTATATTTTGTGTCAGGTCTATAATTTTTTCATAGATCAAAGGATTGTGAAAATACTTCGCACAAATAGTCACAATAATAAGAGGATGTGTCATGCGCAACACCTGCATCCCTACCTCCAAGGTCAAGGTCACACTTAGAGGTCAAAAATTAACAGTCTGTTATAGGGTATATTTTGTGTTGAATCTAGAACTTCTTCATAGTTCAAGGGATTTTGAAATAACTTGGCACAAAAAGTCACAATAATAAGACGTTATGTCATGCACAACACCTGCTCCCCTACCTCCAAGTCACAATAATAAGACGTTATGTCATGCACAACACCTGCTCCCCTACCTCCAAGGTCAAGTTCACACTTAGAGGTCAAAGCTTAACATGATAGATTTTTAAATTCCGTGTTTCATTTTTTTTTTTTTAACAAATTTATTGTTACATTTGCAGATCTAGCATTGATCATAATTTTGGACTGAATGTCCTGAGATCCATACCTCTATCTTTTGAAATAGCACAATTTTATGCTTCATATAAAACTCCCGGGGCGGGGGACGTTGGTAACTCTGTTACAAATTCTTGTTTTTTTTCTTAAAGGCACATACGTCAGAAATCCATATTTTTTTTTATACATTTAGAAATGTCAAACATGTGTTTGATAATGTTTTGATAATGGATTTAGAGCATGTTAGATGTGTAACAACTGAAGAAAGTAGTGCTGAACATTCAAGTAATGTGTTGCAAAGGTAGTGAAATGTTATCAAAGTAGTATTTGACTTTCATACAATGCAAAATGCCAATTCACTATAATTATGCCAATTGCTAACTAAGCAAAAGAAGCTAGAGCTGTTTCGCTTATATAGCAAGTGATTAACTTTCTGGAAACTATAACAAGATACAAAAGGTTTTTTGAGAAATTAAAATGTGTCTGAGGCGTAATGGGCCTTTAAAGTATTGAACTGTTTTGTCCAGATTGAAAAATTGACGAGTCCATTTATAAGATATTTAGTGTGATAATGGTTATATATAGGATTTACCCTTGAACCTTAATCTAAATGCATGTTTGTATAATATTTGAGTGGAAAATATGTTAATGCTTCAAGACAATATTCTCATATTTTTGCATAACAGTGATATCTTAAGGATATATAGTGGGAATACATACGAAGAACAAATGAACATACACAATATTTTTTATCTAAAATGGTGTGATGTGTTTTGGTAAAATGTCTGTAGTTTATTTGTTTACTTATTTCTATGGAACAAAATGTACGTTTATAGTGCTTTGCTTAAAAGAGAAACTCATGCAAACTATTGTTTAAGGGCTTTTAAGTTTGAAATGGTCAGTTTTTAAGATAAGATAAGAATAAAAAACATTTCTCATATAATTTTTAGAAACTTTTTTCAGTTTTGCAGAATATTAAAATGATAAATCAAAAATGGAAAGGTATGTTTTGTGACGTTCTTAACAATGGCCTGTCTCATGGAAGAAATTAACCCTTGTATATTTGATAAAACTATTATACCTCTTAGAAATCCTATATTATGGCATTAAGGAGGATGATAATTTCTGCAAACATATATTTTTGTCATATAAAGTGCTGGAATATGGCATTTTATATTCAATAAATGAGCCACGTCACGACAAAACCAACATAATGCGTTTGCGACCAGCATGGATCCAGACCAGCCTGCGCATCCGCTAGACTGATCAGGATCCATGCTGTTCGCCTACAAACCCTATAACAAGTAGTGAAACTGATACTGAACAGCATGGATCCTGATCAGACTGCGCGGATGTGCAGGCTGGTCTGGATCCATGCTGGTCGCAAACCTATTATGTTGGTTTTGTCGTGACACGGCTCAAATATACAAAATTGTGATGATTGTGAAAAGTTTTGATATTACTTGTCTTGTATAAAGTGTTCTCCTTATTACCCTTAATTTTGAAATCTTTTTGATAAAAGCTTATTTTTGAAGTTTTAATTTTTGTTTTTGTTATAATCTGTGAAATATATAATAGTTGATTTTCCTTAATTTACAAAGAATGAGAGTAAAGTATTTTGCATTGTGAGCAAACTTTGTTTTGGTGCAGTTTATTGTATGTATTACGAGGTAAATTTTGATGTTTGTTGATTAAGGTTTTTTTTCTTCTATTTTTTGTTGTTTTTCTCCAGTAAATTAAAGAGTTTCATAATAGTTTCTAATTATTACATTTACAAACACTTATTTTCTTGACTTGCTTAAAGTGAACTGTAATTGAAGGTTTGTTATACAAGAAATAAAATATGTTGATATTGTTTAGTATGAGTCATAACAACAAATCACAAAAGAATTACATAATGGGTGTTGTTGGCAAGTGTTAGATACATGGTCCAATATTACATATATTTCTATAGCAGATAATAGTGTTCTAGAACAAAATATCATTATTCACCATATAAATATTTCATACTAAATTACTTTGAACTTAATTCTTTTAAGGATTTTATTTTTATAAGAAAATGCAAATGATGTATTTCTATTGTTTTTATGAATATTTGAAATTCTCATGGAAAATATGTCTATTGTAAACAATACCACTTTAAATTGGCCTTCAGCTATTTATAACACATCAGTCATGTTCACGTCTAAAAATAGAAGATCGGGAAACAATACGTCTGCTATACTAATTTAAATATAGAGCACGGACAGGTACATAAGAGGTTTTGAGGGGTTTCCTTATTGTTTATGTAATGAAGAGTCCCGAGACTTCTGTTTCAATCTTTTGATTTGACAATGATGCCAAAATTTTTTTATAGGCAACAGTTGGCAGATTCCATCTTTTTTAAAAATAGAAATTCAAAAATATAATAATGTTGTATAATTTGCCATTTAGATATTTCAATAGTATGGTATATATGTATGATTTCTCAAAAAAAGCAAATACTGCGTTATAATTATCAAATTGAAAATTTTAATGTGAAGTTTTTGGACAAACCTTGTACACACACGAGTGTGTTTAAGGTTGCTAGGGTCAAAGCCCCAGAGGCTATAAAATAGATTTTCCTTGTTTTCTTTACCATAATACCATGTTTTTGCTTTAATCCGTGACTGTGGGGGTCTTCTATTGCCAACAGATGTTCACATTCTTTCATATCAAGAATTAATCTACGTAGTTTTTTAGAAGATCAATGGATATACTTGACTGCCTGTTAGTGCTTGAAATATATTTGTCTCCCTTTAATATTAAAATTTGGAAAATTTCTACGAGTTGAGTAATGTTTATGCAACTAGAAATTAATTGAAATAAAAAGGAAACGGTCTTACTTTTACTGAAGTGTTCATGCCAAAATACTCCATTTAAGTTTCTTACTATGTCAATTTTATTTACACCAATTTGCACCTTAGATGTTCCTAATTTATGTCTGAAAGAATATTGATTTTGGAATATGTTAAAGGATAGATAATTACAAGGGAAAGGATAGATAATTCCAAGGGTAAAAAGTAAAATAATATAACAGTGTTAGTATGTTTTATTTAAACAGTTAAGTCCTGATAGACTATCCGAGAACCCATTGTTTGCTATAGTTTTTTTATCGTGTGTTTGTTGAGACTTTACAAAATGGTATTGCTTGTTGTTTGTTTTATATATTGTCGTGCATTTACTATTCAAGTTTATAGATATTTTTGAACATATGATTTCCCATCTTTGTAAAACTTTTAAGTAATAAATATTAAAAATCATTAAAAAATTGTATGTTTCTTATTCTTAAATCATTTGTTTTGGCAAACTCAAATACAACAAAATTTAATACAAACATGTTTGTTGCTTTCATCAACCAGATTTTTCAACGTAAATTATTTAATAGATTGGGGTATCTCTTCATGTGGCTGATGTATATAAACTTACTGCAGATTAATTCATGCAAAAGCTTGCTGGTTCTTGTATTCAACTAGTAAACAAGGCGGCCAATCTAACTAAAGTTCAGTTTTACTTATTTCTTACTTAAAGCTGATTTTAATCAGCTTGACTAGGTGGCCAGATTCCTGCTTGGGGTAGGCATTAGCACATGCAGCAGTTTCTTCTGATATGGTATATAAACTATTTTTATAAAACATCATTTTCCTACGGAGCTATCATTTAAAATTGCCTTCTGCTAAAGCTTCGAAGTTCCCCTTTATGGCAATATAAGGCACATAGTGCAGTTCCAAAAAAACAAAACAACCAGATAAGCAATACAGATATTCTTCTGAAATTCAAGCATTTTCATAAATAAATACCCACCAATTTTCGGCTGTTATGTGAAAAGCATAAGAGGCTGCTCGAAGAAACAAGATAGCCATAATGTATTTATATACAAAGGGATCACTGGTTTATCAGTTTATGTGAAATTGGCTCAAGTCTTTTCATCTGCAGTACAAGAGACTGGTCTGCCATAATGTATTTATATAGAAGTGAGCACTGGTTTGATCATAGAGCATTGTGAAATTGGCGTAAAATCTAGACAAAATTTACCTGTACATACACTTTTGTTCCAGGCTTAATTCTTGTCATCTGCAGGGCACTGTCAGAGACTTGGTGCAGAGACTGCATTGAACACAAGGGCAGTTTGGAAAGATTGGAACCTTTCCTTGACTGCCATCAGTTATAGGCATCAAGGTGACTGGTCAAGAGAGGACCATACAAACTTTTCTCAAGGCACATTTTTAGAGGCCACTACCCATTGCTTCAATTTTGTTGCAGCTTTGCCCATTCAATTGTTTGGAGGTTCCCCTTTATTATAGCAACTATACCTATCACTGAAGGTGATTAATACCCCCACCAGCAACTTTTGACTTTTTGAAAAAATAGTCCGAAGAAAAATTTGAACGCAAACTATCAACTGTGTACAAAGAAATATTTCAATTAATTGTAATCGCAACTGTGGTCTCGAAATAAGGTTGCTATACACCAAGTTTGATTACAATATCTCATTCTCCTAACTAGTTATTGTCCGGAAACAATTTTTCTATTTTTATTAACACTTTAACGGCGACTTTGACCCTAGTGGGTCGAAATGCAATACCAACCCAGGTCTTCATATAAGCTTATTATACATCAAATAAGATTACAATATCTCATTCCTAACTCTAGTTATTGTCCAAAAACTATTTTTCGTAACAGTGACCTTGACCTTGACCCCAGGGTGCCCAAATGCAATACCAACCAAGGTCTTCATATAAGCTTGTTATACGCCAAGTTTTATAACAATATCTTATTCCTAACTCTAGTTATTGTCCGGAAACCATATTTCTATTTTTAGTAACACTGTAACGGTGACCTTGACCCTAGGGGGTCCAAATGCAATACCAACCCAGGTCTTCAAATAAGCTTCCTATACACCAAATAAGATTACAAAATCTCATTCCTAACTAGGTATAGTCAGAAAACCATTTTTATCCCCCGCCGATGGAATCGGGAGGGGGATATAGTTTTGGCGTTGTCCGTCCTTCCGTCCGTCCATCCGTCCGTCCGTCCGAATTTCGTTTCCAGAGTAGTTCTCTGCAACTAATGGCTGGAATTCAACGAAACTTTATGGGAATGTTGATCAGCATGTGAAGTTGTGCACCTGGGTATTTTCGTCTGGATATTTTTAGTATTTTTAGAGTTATTGCCCTTGACTTAGTAAAACATCCGAATTTCGTTTCCGGAGTAGTTCTCTGCAACTAATGGCTGGAATTCAACGAAACTTTTTGGGAATGTTCATCAGCATGTGAAGTTGTGCACCTGGGTATTTTCTTCTGGATATTTTTAGTATTTTTATTGCCCTTGGCTTAGTAAAATTTTGTAATTTTCAACTTGTGTCGCATGTAACTCAAAAAGTATTTGACCTAGAGTCATGAAACTTTACAGGAATGTTGATCAGTATGTGTAGTTGTGTACCTGGGTATTTTCGTCTGGATATTTTTAGCATTTTTAGAGTTATTGCCCTTGACTTAGTAAAATTTTGTAATTTTCAACTTGTGTCGCATGTAACTCAAAAAGTGTTTGACCTAGAGTCATGAAACTTTACAGGAATGTTGATCAGTATGTGTAGTTGTGCACCTGGGTATTTTCGTCCGGATATTTTTACTTTTTTTAGAGTTATTGCCCTTGACTTAGTAAAATTTTGCAATTTTCAACTTGTGTCACATGTAACTCAAAAAGTATTTGACCTAAAGTCATGATACTTTACAGGAATGTTGATCAGCATGTGTAGTTGTGCACCTGGGTATTTTCGTCTGGATTTATTTAGTATTTTTAGAGTTATTGCCCTTGACTTAGAAAATGTTTGCAATTTTCAACATGTGTCGCATGTAACTCAACAGGATTTGACATAGAGTCATTTAACCTTATTGGAAAGTTGCTCAGCATATTTAGTTTGTTCCTGGGGTTTCGCTTGTGGATTTATCCAGTATTTGTAGAGTTATTTCCCTTGACTTAGTAAAAACTGTTTCATTATGTTGTTATTTGATCCTTGAGTGCTTGAGTTAGAATCGACAATCTTTACAGGAATAATGATCAACATCACTAAATTACGAATAATGAAGTCTGGAGATTAAGATGTTTTTACATCTAGGTGAGCTATTGTGATCCCCCACCGTCCGTCGTCAGCAATTTCTTTAAACAACATCTCCTCAGAAACAAATGACTGCACAGCAACCAAACTTTACAGGAATGATCCTAGGGTGGTCCCCTGCCAAGTTGATCAAATGGTTCCGGTCTGTTGCATAGCCTTATGTCTTCAGTTGTTGTGTTAATAATAACCAGTACTCGGCGGGGGATATAAATTCAACAAATTTGCTTGTTATATTTTTCCTTACGGTAACCTTGACCTTGACCCCAGGGGGCCCAAATGCAATACTAACCCAGGTCTTCATAAAAGCTTACTATACACCAAGTTTGACAACAATATCTCATTCCTAAGTTTTTTTGTCCAAAAATTGTATTTTTCGTGACCTTGACCCCAGGGGGTCCAAATGCAATACCAACCCAGGTCTTTATATAAGCTTGCTTTACACCAAGTTTGATAACAGTATCTCATTCCTAAGTCAAGTTATTGTCCGGAAACCATTTTTCTATTTTTAGTAACGGTGACCTTGACCCCAGGGGGTTCAAATGCAATACCAACCCAGGTCTTCATATAAGCTTGCTATACACCAAGTTTGATAACAATATCTCATTCCTAAGTCAAGTTATTGTCCGGAAACCATATTTCTATTTTTAGTAATGGTGACCTTGACCCCAGGGGGTTCAAATGCAGTACCAACCCAGGTCTTCATATAAGCTTGCTATTCACCAAGTTTGATTCCTAAGTCAAGTTATTGTCCGGAAACCATTTTTCTATTTTCAGTAACGGTGACCTTAACCCCAGGGGGCCCAAATGCAATACCAACCCAGGTCTTCATATAAGCTTGCTATACACCAAGTTTGATAACAATATCTCATTCCTAACTCTAGTTAGTGTCCGGAAACCATTTTTCTATTTTTAGTAACGGTGACCTTGACCTTGACACATGGGGGTCCAAATGCAATACCAACCGGAGTTTCCACATAAGGTATATACCAAGTTTGATAACAATACCTCATTCCAAACTCTAGTTATCGTCCGGAAACCATGATGTGGACCGACCGACCGATCGACAAGCTGACTCCTATATACCCCCCCCCCCCACCCCCTTAACTTCGTTTGTGGGGGTATAATAAATTATAGTCATGACAAAAAGAAACAAGCTTGTTAGATTCCTATATGTGAAAGACACTTAAGTTTCTTCTTTTTCTACCTTTATTTTCACAAAAATTAGTAACGCCCAACCAGTTTCTTCCAAAACTTGCCGTGATTTAAGAACTATCTTACAGAATGATGGGCAGACACAAAGACATCTGTGCTTCTTATAAGAGCATATTAAAATTTTGTTGGGTATTTCTTTTATTTAATAAATACTCAATAAGACTATAAAAATACACAACGCTACAGATAAAATGATAGAATTTATTGTAACCAATGTTTTCTTGTTTGCCTAGGCAGACAGACAGATGAATGCCAACCGACTGTCTTGCTGGTAAACCAGGTGAGGTGACAATAACAAAGCCATATCACAGATATTAATATTTCTAAAATATGAAAATAAATAAACAAATACAAAAATAACATTTTAAATAAATAACCAAGTAGGCATTCTATAAAATTTTACAAGTTTTGGCATTACATAGTACATGTAGTTAAACAATCAAAAGACAAAATATGTGAAAAAAAAATGATAAAGCTTGGCTTTGTTTAAAGGGTAAAAGATATATGTTGGACTGCCTGTAATCTAGGGAATAATTACATATACTTTTATTGAGATAGAAAACTGAATGCTGTCTTGTTCTGAGGTATAGCTTTCTACCCATTAAACATTGCTGTATAGGAAAGACTGTTTTTCAAAACAACTTCTGTGTATCAAATGTGCAGCACCAAGAGACCAAACAATGTTAATGTTTTCACAAGGTATGTCCTATACAAGGAGTTAAACAATCTAAAATTCAAATTTCCCACTATTTAGCAATAAAGGGGCTGGGATGAGCTACATTTTTCAGTAACCAATGGTTTAATTCAGCATCATCTCAATTCTTTTAATACTACATGTACTTTTAAATATATTTTTATCAATGGTCAATACTTACTTTTTCGGAAGCATAAAATATTTACTAAATGATGGAGGACAAAAATGATAGACTTTACTATATAAAAAATCAGTCTTTTTGATTCATGCAGATTTTAAACAAATGTTTTCAATGTGTAGTCTCCATATATAGTGATTGGTGATAACATTCTTAAAGTCTTGAAGTGAAATGTCTGTGTATTTTAGAGAACACCATATCACTGGTGTGCACTAATTATATATCACGCATTATCTTATGCCCTGTTTAAGTTCTTTGGCACGTCTTTCCTCTCGCCATTTCTGTATGGTACTCATCATTTTGTCACTTTTGTCTTGCTGCTCCGCTGGCGGCATACGATCAAACTCACCTGGCTCGAACTTACGACCAAATAACTCAATCTGGAGAAAATTATTACAATTTGAAAAAATAAAATAAGTCTGTATTCTTCAACAGAACATTTTTAAAAACACCTTTGAATCTATATGACCATTTATAGAGCTCTTGAAACTTACCATATGCCCATTATTATACATCAAAAACAACAAATTAATACACATTTGTATAAATTGTCTTTTATAAACAGAAGAATTATAAGTCTATATCCTTCAACAAAGCATTTTGTAACTAGCATAAATAAAGATCCTGATATTCCTAGGTCAAGGTCAAAATACAACTCCGATAATCAGGAAGCCTGATAATAATAATAAGAACAAACTGAGTATTATTTCTCTTTTTGTTTGTTTGTTTTGGGTTTTACCTCACATCGACACAGTATAGGTCATATCGCGACGTTCCAGCTTTACTGGTGGAGGAAGACCTCAGGTGCCCTTCCGTGCATTATTTCAGGCACGAACGGGCACCCGAGTAGAACCACCTACGTTCCGTAAGCCAGCTGGATAGCTTCCTCACATGAAATAATCCAAAGTCCCTGTCGGGATTCGAACCCACAGCGGTGAGGGGCAAGTGGTTTGAAGTCAACGACCTTAACCACTTGGCCACGGACGCCCCATTATTTCTCTAATACAAGAAGGAAAAATTAAGCGAAGCTACCATGACAAACAGAAGATTAGCTACCCAAGTTAAACATTTCAAGAAATAATCCTATAAGAACATGAAGAGGGCTGTTGGGGAGATAAGAAATGGACTTAAACCTAACCGAGAGAATGAAACAACAAACCTGAGCTTGTTTAATATCCCTGATATTTTGATGTAGGTATCCCTCTGTCTTCTTATCCAGTATCTCCTTGTCTGGGCCTTCAGCATGGGCAACTGAAAACAGATGTAATTTTTCCCATCAAAATTTGTGATAAAAATGTCTTACCTTGACCATAAGTTTAGACCCCGGCCTAATCCAGTACATCTTAAAGGTCTGACCTTAGTTTTTGCCTATTCAAAATGACAGGATTTATTTAATATGATGCATAAACAATTTAAGAATTAGAGATGACCTAACTGAAATGTTATAGATGTATATTGGAAAAGAGTCATTCAATGCTCCTGTATCTTCATAATTTGTTTCTTTAACTATTATGAATTGTCATATCTATTTTGTTTAAAAACGTAAGTGCTAAAACTAGGAATGTGACCATAATGCAACAATGCCCCCATTCTCTATTGTTTTGTCAGTATATGGACAGTCAGCAGGACAGATGGAAAAGGACAAATATATATTTTATCCTCCCAACTCCCACCTTTAAATGGGAGCTTAAAAACTTCTTCATTGTTTAAATATTTTAAATTTATACACATAAAATATAGAAATATATATTTCTTGAAATAACTTTTGAATCTATCATAATAACTTTACCTGAAACATTCCTGGAACTAATAAGTTCTGGTGTAATAATACTTAAACATGGTACATGTAGAATCTCAATTTGGGCTTTAACCTACAATTCTGAGGTTTAGAAGCCACCATATACTGGATAATACACTGTTATGTAATCCCAATCAAGTTATAAAGTCAGTATGTGTAGCCAAATAGATAAAGAAAAATTAATACAAGTACATGTATGTACAGTAACTTACTTTTATTTTGTGCATCAGCAATTTTCTTGAGGAAATCTCTCATAGCGTGATTAAACTGATCTGTTGGTGACTGGGCGGGCGTTGGTGTTCGCGCAGGAACTGGCACAGGGGTATGCATGGTGGTTTGTGACGCCACTGACGGTGGAGGTGGTACCAAAACACGACTGAAAACATTTGTATATGTACCATAAGAACTCAATTAGGAAAATATTTATATACTTTTCAAGAAATAATAATTACTTAATATAGTGTTTATATAAAAAATATAACATGACATTATATAAGATACAACATTACATGAAAATTTTATGTAAATGATACTTGTAACCAAAGAAGTTTGCTTAAAAAGGAACAAAAAGCCTGCAAAAAGCTGGAAAAAATACAGTAAAAATTATATTACCCCATACATAAGCCTTGACTAGATCAATTTAATTTATATGACTTCCAAGCCAAGTGAATAAATAATCTATCTGTACTGTTAACCATAAGTTGAATGGTAAATATTATAATTTTCAGTGGAAAATTACTAGCTGCCAAAACTCTCCAAGTGATTTGAAAGCATTTGCCTTCATCATGATTTTGCAAAAGAAGTTGGCAGTAAATTATGAAGTACCCAATTATGTCACTGGCTGCTGGAGGCCTATGTAAATCACTCATTAGAACACAAGTTTGTTAAAGCAAAATCCAATATGAATACTGCTATTATGCTTTAAGAATATTAATATATAGCTGCAACAACAACACTTACCTTATGTAAGAGCTGACACTGTATGTGGACGGGGGTCTGGATGGCTGAAACAATAATTGATATCAAATAAATATGCATAACATCCATTGTTGTTGGTTTTATCACTTTCTATTATCTTGGTTGCATCACCTTACCTTTACAATCAGGCATTATTTTTAAAATTAAGATCATACTCTTGTGTAGATATCATAATATAAAAAGCAAATGATGATCTTATCCCTTAATCTTCTGGAACCTAAAATTATTAGCCTTGGCACGGATGTACTGGCAGGCATGTCTCTATACTTTTGGCTGTTAATTTTTTGTATTTGAGCACTGAAATCCCTTAAAATTTAAAAAGACTGCATGGAAAATCCATTATACAAATTCAAAGCCAGATTTTTCTCAGGTCCAAAAAACTTAATATATAAGTGTATAATTGTATAATGTACTACATGTAGATACAGTACCTGCCGTCTCGATGACATCATCGCCATCTGTAGCTTTAACTGTTCTATTTCCTCCTTTGCCCTTCGTTCACCTTCCTCTCTTTGACGACGCTCCTAAAACACGAGTTCAATGTACATGCATAAATTCATAAAAGTAAAATACATCGTAATATGAGGATAAAAATTTCTGCAAATACAATATATTCCAAGACTTAATTACAAATCTTGTTTTTGTTAAAAATATATATATATATATAGAGAGAGAGAGAGAATTATAACTGTGCATTGAATAATTTCATGAAAATATGAACCCCGATGTTAACTACAAGATTTCCTTGCTTTGCTTTTTATAAAAACATTTTGAATTCCATCTCACAGCCAATTGACTGAGTTCATCCTTAAAGAGTTTTCATCGCTTTACCATCTAAATATTTGAAACATCTTTTCTGACATTGTCTCAATGTCACGTTTTCTTCAGATAAAATTGCGTATGGCAAATTATTATTACTTAAAAACTGCAGACCATTCTAAAACTGAAGCGTTTGATTGGATGAGACAAAAAACAAATTTGAAATTGACCAATGGTAATGTTCTGATTCTAGACTGGTCTACCGTCTGCATTAGAGAGTAAAATATTACATCAGCAAGTTGGTCCTCCAGTCTGGCTTTTTCTAGCTCCATTCTCTGTCTGTCAGCTGCAGCTAACTTCATGTACTCCAAGTCTTCCTTTCTGTAATCATTAATTTGTTCCTTAAATTTACTGAATGTCTTAAATTACCTATATCACACTACAAAGTTAAGCCAGCCTGTATATCAATAAATTTACTGTTTTTATAACAAATCCTTTCAACTTTTCGCCTGCTGGCAGTTAATGAATATACAGATATGTAGTTTATGCTGGTATTCCATTTTTACATTGCTTATCCTTTTAGAGACCTTTTCATTCCAATTCTAAAAACTCTTTATAAACAGTTAAAAAACAAAGCCCATTTCATATAAATTTAATTGTTGCCTAGGTTATTGTGTTTGACAATTGTATGAAGTTGTTTTGAATTCCAACCAGTTGTTTTCAAGTTATGCCCCGGACAAGGAAAAGTAACAAAGGGCAATAACTCTGTAATTAGTCAAGATAAAGTTATGGTTCTTATGCACTGCACTTCCTCTCAATGTGCTTGACCATTGTATGTAGTTATTTTGAATTCAAACTATAAGTCTTCAAGTTATGGTCCGGACAAAAAAAAGCAATGGAAAACCAACAAAGGGCAATAACTCTGTAATTACTTTAGATAGAGTTATGCTTCTTAGGCACTGCACTTTCCCTTATTGTGTTTGACAATTGTATGAAGTTGTTTTGAATTCCAACCCGAGTAGTTTTCAAGTTATGCCTCGGACAAGGAAAAGTAACAAAGGGCGATAACTCTGTAATTAGTCAAGATAGAGTTATGGTTCTTGTGCACTGCACTTCCTCTCAATGTGCTTGACCATTGTATGTAGTTATATTGAATTCCAATCATTAGTCTTCAAGTTATGCTCCGGACAAGGAAAATGCAACGGACGTATGGACCGACCGACCGACCAACGGACAGACCACCGGGTGACTCCTATATACCCCCCCAAACTTCGTTTTTGGGGGTATAATGATTTATGTATAATTATGATATTATCATATCATGTGTGGGTTGATATGTTGCATCTTTTAAATTACTGGTTTATATACAGTCAAACCTGGCTTAAAAGACAACCATTTACCTTATAATTTAGTAGTCTTTAAGAGGTGATTCAGATTTCAAAAGGTTTTATGTGAAACAGCCATATTGCAATAAAATAACAAACATATTCAGTATCCATGTGTCATGACAGACAATTACTACAATATCTGTGGGGGTTTCTGTGTGCATGAAACGTCTTCTAATAATTTACATAGAATCTATTAGAGGAATATCTGAATTGTAAGAGTATCAAGGGTGATAGCCTCAAATCATGGTGCGGTCCGATAAATCCAAGATGGCGTCCAAGATGGCCACCGAAAAATACCATTTTCTCTTACGTAATTTTATTTGTAATTCCGGGCAGTTAAAACTGGTATTTTTCATATTTTTGGCGGCCATCATTATAAACGACAGGGATTGTTTAAAATTTTTCTGATCAAATGTTATATTACAAAATATGTTGTTTTAAGCATATGTGTGACTGTATAATAATTATGTTCTGTTAAATGTGCAGCATTAGAAATATTACATTGCAAATTAAAGTACAACAATGTATAATTAACATTTCCCAGCATTAAAATGTTACATTTTTTCTATGTTATCAAAAGTATGTTAAATGCAAAAGCTTTCTGAATCTAAATGTTGATACAATAAATTCATGTAATACATATACTAGTATTAACCATTATTTAAGTGACATACCCTTAACTGTTTCAAGCATTTTTACCGTTATCTTAACACAAGCTTCATCTGTAAGTATGGACGCTTATTTGGGCTATGTATTTTTTACCCAAGTCCGCAAATTAGGGAAAAAAACACAAATCTTCCACCATGTGGGTAATTAAATTCCAAGCATTTGATTGGCTGTTTGCCATGCACACAATTTTTAAATTAACCCATACAAATGCTCAATACATAAGAATGGTCCCAACACTCAGTTAAAAAATTATTCATTCCATGCAGGTGCAAAGCAGTATTGTTATACCAAATAACCTAATTTATACAAATGAAACAGTATGTTATCGAACCATTAACTTCAGTTTTAAGCTGTTAAGAATTGTGCATTGTCAACTTACTTTTGTGCACCAGTTTCACTGTATTGAAAACATATTCATAATTATCAGCAAATTATTTCACAAACAGATACTGTCATGTAAATGATGTACCATCACATGTAGTTTCAATATTAGAATCATTATTCTTTAAAAATTTAATTCAGCTTAAATTTCCTAATTATAGTCATACAAAATGTATCTTTGTCACAAGAAAGATATATGAATTTAATATGTTGGAAAACCTAAAAAAATTATCACAGATTTCAATATGATTATGCAATATTGGAGACCACTTCATGTTAACTGAAAAACAATCTGCGGCTGTCCAGATCATTCTTTTGAAAAATTGGCTTGGTCCAAGTATTTTTTTATTACCATTATGATTGCTTACACCAATAAAGACATTACTATTTCACCATTTTACAGAGTAAAGACAGTCTGAAATTCCATGCTTTCTTTGCAGTGTAAACAGGCACTGTACTCTTGGCTTCTCAATTTAGTATTTTGATACTTGTTTGTTTGTTTGTATTAAACACTGATTTCAACACATATTTCATTATATATTAGTAGTCAGTCCAAATTATCCTTTTCCTGGATAACTAACCAGTCATTATCAAATTCTCTGCAATTGACCAACTATCAATCCAACATGATTTCTGGATGAGTGATGAGAGACAAATAACCATAAGACAAACGGAGACAAATTATCATTGAGAAATTTCGCCTTGTCTGAGGATCAAACCATCAAATAAACCAGATGCTACATATAAAATGAGCTCATGCAGTAGACCTAGTCTTTTGAAATTTGTACTGCAATCCCTTAAATAAGTAATGGACTGTTCCAGATTCAAAGTAGGGCAGGTCCATTTCATAAATTTAGCATGGAAAAGGTTTCTAGTAATATTTGGTGAAATGCATCATTATCTTCAAAACTGTAAACTTGTAAATCTAGAGAGTGCTGTTTTAAGTGTTTATATCAAATAATAACAATAAAATGGTTGAGAATATTCTAAGATTATGGTCATACAAATACAATACAGGTACAGTGTATTACTTTGCTCTCTAAAATACAGCTTTCTCAAAACCAAGAAGTTAGTTCCAAACATACTGTTACACAAAAGTTTTCATGCGTTAATTCCATTTTTTATTGAACTGCCAAAGAATTTAAATGGCCAATTTAAATTTGTCTTATTCTTTGTGTAAAATAATTATGTGTATCACACATTATAAGGGTTAGTTTTATATAGATGTACGTTAAATCTCAACCATTTTATATTTATAATGTTAAAACATACAATGTTAAAGTTAACACAACTAAACACAGTTTGTAGAAATAAAAAAGTCTCAGGCATCTGCTCTTGATTTAAAAAAGCCAATTTGTTTTTAATTTAATTTTTTTATCTGTATTTTAATCAATGAAAATATCGCATAAACTTGATTTGAATAGGAAAAGCAGTTGCCTCAGAATCTTTTTTGTTTCTAAAAACCAAAACATCACTGTGGAAGTAAAAACCTGTACAGTACCCACTGAAAGTTGAGACAAAATGTTAAATTATTAAATTCTTCAAAAAACCCTGAAAAGACAATAAAATGTACAAACAAGTACATGTTTCAATATCAACTCTAACAATGATATAAATATAACAATGCATTAATTATAAAACTAAGCATAATTAAATAATACTTAGAAATAGGAACAAAATGAAAGATATTAAAGAAAACAAGAAAGTAGGCAAGAGTTACTATTAAGTGGAAATACATGAATGACATTGCCATACAACTGATGAAATATAAATCATGAGTGAAACAAGAAAAATTGAAGCAGATTATTGAGGTATCAAACAAAGAAGCAAAGTACATGTATAAGAAAAAAATGTAAACTTTCACAGCAAAAGTCTTAACACAATACAGATGGTTCTAATAAAATAAGAATAATTTCATGATACAATGGAACAGGCAAGGAAACAAGCAGAATTGTTTCAGTAAAACAAAAGAAATACAATCAGAAAGTATAATATGAGACATGATAAACTTATTATAAAGACAATAACAATTTCTTTTCTAAAAGTGAAGCCAAAAAATGAACTTACTTTCTTTGAGTTTGTTCGTGCTCTCTGCGGAGAAGGGCCGCATCTCGTTGTTGTTGTCCGAGTCTTTCCCTCTCGGCCTCGCGTTCCTCCCTGGCCGTCTTCCTGTCATGTGGTTGTGTGTATGGAGGTATCAGGTCATTGTACCAGTGTCTCCATGGTGGATGAATAGCTTTAAATAAATCCAACTTTTATATGTTAAATTGTACTGTTTTGAGTTTTATTACTTACATTATCAGTATAGATCCTGTTAGGGGTTGAATAACAAAATTCACATGAATACAAATGAGATATAAGAATTTAGTTTGACTCCCTTTTTTCATAAATAATGTAATAAGATTTTCATCATATAAGTCCTCGTGACTAACCCTGCTTCTGTGTTTATTTTTAAAGTTACATTTTTTTTGTTTTGCAATATAATTTTTTGGGAAGCAGTGATTTTTAATGCAACAAAGTGTCAAACTTATAAAGCATATAAATGTAAACAATAATTACCAAAAATAAAAAAAATATACATGAAGGTAGTAAATTGACTTTTAACCTTTTTTAATGTTTAATCAATGTTTAAGGCTTTCTCTTATTTGAATTAACAAATGTCCGTTAGTATAGATTATAGTTGTTAAACAATATTTGAGACATTAAAATGTCACAATTTTATGTAGCCCATAAAGACAATTTCACATCAAAAGTTAGGATTTTTTAGTAAATTTCAAGTAAAATAATCATTAGTCAAAACATGATATTGAAATTTACAAAATTAATGTCCATTAGTAGATAATGGTATTGAACAAATTAACCATCCTACAGTAAAGGCAGGTCAGACGACTTAGATGTGTGTGCAGTCAGTCCTGGTCGTAAATTGATGGTACAGAAAAGTCATGGTCACTTCTAGCTTATAAAGAATTAACAAACCTTGTGTTGGATCTAGGACAGGCATGGCTGACTTGAAATCTTTTTGTAACATTGCATAAAGCTCCTGATAATGGTTCTTCTTTATCTGAATAAAAAATAAAATGAACAACAATCATTACACTTAACTGGAATTAATTGTGACGTAACTATACATGATGGTTGAATTAGCAAACTTTGAACCTGTCCAAATGTGACATTTCATGTAAAAGGTTAAATATAAGAGTTATAGCAAGTATACACAGTGATTTTCCTGCTTATATAACAGACTCCGAAAAAGGGCCTCTTCCCAATTGAAATTTTCTTTAAAATCATGCAGTTTTCCCAAAAATCTGAACTTAAACCTGCTTTTTTCTTCCCAAATAAGCAATTTTAGCGATATTTCTTCCCAAAATCAAAAGACTTAGGCCTCTTCCCAATTAAGTGAGAAAAATCACTGATACAATTTCATAATTAAGAACTGTAAAAAATGATAAAATCAAAAAATAATTATTTATAAAACCTAAATGTGAGTATATAAGCTGTAACAATGCTTAATCAAAAGCTACTAAACCCTGGGTCCTAATTATTATAAAAGAGTCATAGTCTTCAGGTAGGGAAATTTTTTTTCAACAAAAATACTCATCATGTTAAGTATTATGTATTTTATTTTGAAAAAAAAAAATGAAAAAAAATATAAGTACTTCAATATGATTTTGTTAAGGTTCTTTTCCTTTAGGCAGTTAAAATTTACATTAAAAAAATAACACAAAAAGTAAGGTAAAAATATATACATGTAATAATTAAAATTGGGCCAAATGTTTGCCTAAATAAATCTTGAAATGAGAGCCCTGAAACCTTTATAAAAACTGGTTCCTAATTTTCAAGAAATATTTATTCTTAATGAAATATTCATAATTATTTAGGTCAAAGGTCATATTTTACCAGTCATACATACTTCATATTGGAACTGAGCTATGGTTAATTTAGGTCCTTCATTCCTCAACATCGTCTCAAGCTGAACACTCTGAAAAATTATAACCCAATCCATCAACTGCACATTCATTAGTATTCTATAGAAGACAAAATCTGCATTCATCTAATTAATATCAATTACAACATATACATCATAAGCTGTAATACTGTAAAATTATAAAATTTTGTGACAAAGGTTTTTTTGGATATTTTTTTAATAACATAGGGACAGACAATGTGGTATAGGAAATAAATTATTCTATGTATAATTAAAAATAAAAACTTTTGTTTTGGATGTTTTTAGTTTTATTAATGATTATTAAAACTGAAACAAATATAAGAAACTCAAAAAGACATTTTCTCACAAAAAGTTATGATTTTACAGTAAATTTCATTAATAATTTTTAAGTAATTAATTAAAATGATCATAAGTCAAAACATTTATGCTTAATGAATTAATGGCATGTCATTACAAATTTTAATGGACTTGAAGTACAGTGTGCATATTTACTGTCATGGGAATATTTTGTTCTGTATGCTTCAAAATATTGAGTTTCATTAGAAAAAAAAGGTATATATAATTTTTAATTTTTACTTTCATTGTATTTTGTGTAATAATCGTTTTGTAAAATTATGCTGAAACTGCAATTGTATCCAGGATTTATTTACTAGAGTGGTCACAAAATTTCAGCAAAGGGTAAGGCCTAAAATAAAATATTGTTTGCCTCCCATCCTGTTACCAACCAACAAAAAGTTCCAGCTACCCAAAAAATGTATTGCATAGCTAAAAAAAAATTGTTGTTGTTTTTTTTACTGAAAATGCAAGCAGAATCTGTCAATGAGAATCACATCTTGTATGTTGAATAAAACTTTGAAAATATGGTTCTAAAGTTTAAACAGGAAATATTTTATCTTCCTAACTACCCTACCAAACTGGCATGGGTCACGGAAGGGAAAACAAAGGTAACTTTAAGGCAGACCTAATGTATATTCAAGAATTTTTGCTTCAATGTCATGAAAAAAGCCTACGTTTATAGCTAGACTGATGATATAGGGGTTGGGGGGGGGGGGGGGAGAGGGTCATGAGAGGCAAAATCTCAGGGGGTCCTAATCCCGGGAACATTGCATGGTATTTCAATATATTATGACATTTTCACTTTTTTTCTTTTTTCAAAAAAATCTTAATGTTAGAGCATGATTTATAAGCTTTGTGCATTGCATTAATTAACAATATTTTAAACAGAATATTTCTAACTGTTAAATAATTTTTTGCTCATTTACTAACTCTAAAAATAAACTAAGATTAAAAAGCATATTTCTATAACTAATACACTAGTACAAGAACTATAACTTCTTCGGTTTCATAAATATTTATACCTATAAGTAATGTAATTAGTTTCATATCATGTTCTTAAATTAATATTGTAAGATAAACCCATTCTGAGTAAAATCAGCTCCTAATTATTAGAATAAAGAACGCATTGTCCAAATAGCTTGCAGGTAAACTAGCCAAAACAACATTGCCCATTAAAAATTGAGTCTATTATTTCCAGTTTTTTTGTTTCAAATTATTTCAAACAATTTTTTTTTTCTAACAAAAATCAACAATTTGTTTTATTTTCACAAACAGTGATATTTTGATACTTGCCTAATGCTTAATGTAATGGATGGTTTGACTGCATGGCTAAAAAAAGCTTTCTTGGGAAATCCGAACATGAAACAAGAATCAGATTAAGAATATCTGAACTTTAGTCACATGGAAAATAAACCATGATAATCATATTCTTGAAATAAAATTTGGCACAAAAATATTAACATTGATAGCTTAATGAAGATTAAATTTAAATAATTTTAATCCAAATAAATAAAAAAACAGAACACAAAAAATCCTCAAACAAATCATACCAAACATTTCTTGTTTTGACATTTTATTCTTACATATAACGTTTCTTGTTATGGCATTTTATTCTTTCATATAAAGTTTCTTGTTTTGACATTTTATTCTTTCATATAAAGTTTCTTGTTTTGACATTTTATTCTTTCATATAACGTTTCTTGTTTTGACATTTTACTCTTTCATATAACTTTTCTTGTTTTGACATTGTATTCTTTCATATAATGTTTCTTGTTTTGACATTTTATTCTTTCATATAACGTTTCTAGTATTGACATTTTATTCTTTCATATAACGTCTCTAGTTTTGACATTTTATTCTTTCATATAACTTTTCTTGTTTTGACATTGTATTCTTTCATATAATGTTTCTTATTTTGACATTCTATTCTTTCATATAAAGTTTCTTGTTTTGACATTTAATTCTTTCATATAAAGTTTCTTGTTTTGACATTTTATTCTTACATATAAAGTTCCTAGTATTGACATTTTATTCTTTCATATAACATTTCTAGTTTTGACATTTTATTCTTTCATATAACATTTCTTGTTTTGACATTTTATTCTTTCATGTAAAAAATTGATTTTTTTTTAATTCTACAAACTAATGACACTATATTAAAATTTTAATCACAGATGTGCATGATAAATTGTTTGGTTTTATTTTTGCAATTTTGTCAATTTATTAAGGCATGATATAGATTGCATTATTTTGGTGCAAAATAGTAAAGCAATATGGTCTATGGTACCTCTTTTTCCTTTTCCTCTGTCTAAAAGAAGGTATATAATCTATTTTACATACAGATAAACAAGAGCTGTCACAGGAGACAGCAAAGCTCAACTAATAAAATACTGGACATAGTAAGGAGGACAAAACTATGAAAGAAAAATCAATTATGTATAATAATGTATTAAGTTATAGTAAAAAAATAACATTTGTTAACATAAATTCCAAGATCAAGGGGAATTATTCTAGAAAAAGTCACACTAGTGTTATGAACCTTGTCACACATGTATGTTATGATAAGAAATATATATTTGAAGTTTGAAGTAGATACCTTAAAAAGTAAAGAAGTTATAATATTTCTTAAAGAAAATCCTCAGTTCAAGGAAAGATAAATCTGTAAATATTGCTTCAAGAGTTATGAACATTGTCACATAAAATGTAACTTATGATAAGGAATAAGTATTTGAAGTTTGAGTATAGTAAAAAATAACATTTTTCTAGTAAGAAAATCTAAGTTTATGGGGAGATAATTCTTGCAATATAGGTGCTAGAGTTATGAACATTTTCACATAAGATGGAGATGATGATAAGGTACATATATTTGAAGTATGAGGTTGATCCTTTCAAAAATAAAGAAGTAACAGTAAAAAATAGTATTTTTTAGGGAAAAATCTAAGTTCAAGGGGAGATAAATCTGAAAATATTGGTGCTAGTGTTATGAACATTGTCAAATAAGATGGGGATGATGATAAGGTACATATATTTGAAGTATGAGGTTGATCCCTTAAGAAATAAAGAAGTAACAGTAAAAAATAGTATTTTTTGAGGAAAATTCTAAGTTCAAGGGGAGATAAATCTGAAAATATTGGTGCTAGAGTTATGAACCTTGTCACATAAGATGGGGATGATGATAAGGTACATATATTTGAAGTATGAGGTTGATCCTTTCAAAAATAAAGAAGTAACAGTAAAAAATAGTATTTTTTAAGGAAAATTCTCAGTTCAAGGGGAGATAAATCTGATTATATTGGTGCTAGAGTTATTAACCTTGTCACATAAGATGTGGTTGATGATAAGAACATATATTTAAAGTTTGAAGTTGATACCTTAAGAAATGACAAGGTTATAGTGAAAAATATTTTATTGCACCAAAACTTTAATCTGAAATCTGGACGCCGACGCCAGGGCGAGTAGGACAGCTCTCCATATACTTCGTATAGTCAAGCTAAAAATAAAAGAAGTCAATCATCAAATCGTACGATTTTTCACTGTATTCAAAAGGGTCTGTGAGCATTTTTTGTCAAGTAATGAGTTATACAGTCTTATATATCTGCATCTCCAACAACTGATTTGCATAAAATAAAACACTGTGAATGTAAAGAGTAGCTACTATCTATTTTACACAAATTATTTTCTCCAACAGTTCGAGAGCTATACCCTGACTTTTAAAAAAAGAACAAAAATATAAAAATTGCATTACATGAATTTTAATTCTCATGGTATTTCAACTGACACAGATAAAGGAAATGACGTCATTTATTACATGTAAATGACATCATAAAGATGATGGTGTAAACAGGATAGAGTAATTACTATAGTTTGTTTGGCCAACTTTATATCCAACTTTTTTTAACATACCCTTTCTATGTTTCAGTAAAACCTTATTAAAATGTGACATTGTCTGGCACCACTAAGAGGACAGACATTTTTGATCCTACCTTGTGTATTGTTCTTTATGTGACATAAATTAATCTAAATAAATTGCACCACCAAGGGAAGAGCTGATATATAATACTGTCTGGATGCTTTACCTATAAAAGATGTGTAACTACCTTATACTGTCTGGAATATAACATTGTGGTACTGTTTTATCTTCCAAGTATGTAATATGCTCTTCTGGAGAAATTGTGCTCACAGGTTACTTATGGTGACATTAAAGAAATATTAACAAATAAACAAACAAGTATACTTTTATGATCATAACTTCAATAATGAAAAAGGGCAACTGTGACCAAGTGGTTATGGCTGTTGACTTCAAACAACTTGCCTCTCACTGCTGTGGGTTCGAATCCAGACAGGAAGTTTGGATTCTTTCATGTGAGGAAGCATTCCAACTAGCTTATGGAATGTATGTGGTTCTACTCAGGTGCCTGTTCATGTCTGGAATAATGCCTGAATAAGGGCACCTGAGGTCTTCCTCCACCAGTAAAGCTGGAAAGTCTCATATGACATATACTGTGTTGGTGTGACGTAAAACTCAACAAGAAAAAATCAACTAAAGAATGCAAATATACAATCATGAATATAAGTTATGTTTAATTGAATTTTCAAAAAAAATAAATATAACTTACTGTTTGGCATTCTTTGAACTTGTCTTTAAGAAGGCCTAGTATAATGGCAGTTATAATAGCCAGTAGTTCTACATTAAACCCAGGGCTATCTAACCCTATCATATACTGATCCCATACAAACAGCAGTGTGTCCATTCTTAAATAACCTGTAAATAAAGTAAAGTACATAATGATCTTTACTCTTAGTATATTGGCATCAACAGATTCCTCCTATGCATCCAGTGCAGACCAAGATCAGCCAGTCTGATATATTCTAACCAATATAAGTGTTGTTTTTTTTCTCTCAAATAATCCGTTATGAATGAGTCATTTTGAAAACATCTGTATTCAAGCATTTAGCTGCCAGGGGCCAGTTGATCAAAGCTCTGTTAAATTTAACCGTTCGTTAAATCCACTAACGCCTGTAAGCATTCCCTTTTTATGCTGTGCATATATTGTGTATAAATACACTTGTTACTTTATATAGAAACAAAATTGCGTATGATTTCAACTGATAATGAGTGTCACATGATTGATTATAAATTTGCAGATCGGGGCCAACATCTAATTAACATAATCTTTTGTAATGAAATTTATCCTGCTTAAAATATTGGAACAGTTCATTCAAAGATAAAGGGATTTCAACATCACAAAAGAAAGAAAAAAAGTGAGCTCCAAACAGCATAGAGCTTGCAAAAACTACATGGATGTGCATGCTGTCCTGGCTTTAAACTACTATCAAAGGCCAGTCACTTTTGGTTCTAGCAGGTTAAAGATTAATATCTCAATATTTGTTTTTTAAGATTTGAAGTTAAATATAAAAAGTTGTATTACATACCAACAAACATAGATCTGATCAGAGGTCTGATAAGTATAGTGAGTCCATCTTTTAATACAGCATAACTGCCAGCTTCTGTTGCCACTATCTTATCTGAAAAACAGGAATGAACAAAACCATTACAACAATGATTATTCAATAAGAGAATACCTTAATTCAGCTTTTTCCCAATTTATTTTGTGTGATAAACTATTCTTGCTGTGAATTTGAATGATTTGCAACCTGGCTTAACTCTAAGCTGCTGCCACAATACCTTTCATTGTCACCAATAGTGTTCAGTAAGTTTTGAAGTGTAGCTTAAATAAATCTAGTAAGACTTTACTATGACTACTACGTATGAACATGATTTAACAATATCTTATGAATTAAAAGATATTGAATTTTGGTCTTTTTTGTTGAAATTTATCACTACATGTATTAACAAAGTTTTTACTTGTTTGTTTTTCTTTTGTCAGGATTAATACTATATCATAACTTTAACAAGAACTGTCGGAGGACAGTAAAGCTCGACTATTCGAAAATTTGTCACAAGGGTGTTTCATTGAGTATAATAATGCTTACCTATATGAATACATAAAATTGTCCGAAAAGGTACAAACTCTTCAAGTTTTAATACATTCCCTTCAGTAGTTATGGAGATACAAGCTTACATACAAAAACTTAACCAAGATTTTTCTAAGTCGAAAAAGGGCATAATTATGAAATAAAACAATTCAGAGTTATGGGACTTGTACCAATCACCTTAGATAATCACAGAGACAAGTGTGTGAAGTTTCAATCCATTCCCTTCAGTAGTTATGGAGATACCAGCTTACACGCAAAAAACTTAACCAAAAATTTCTAAGTCGAAAAAGGGGCATAATTATGTTAAAAAGCAAATCCGAGTTATGGGACTTGTGCCAATCATCTAAGATAATCACAGAGAACAAGTGTGTGAAGTTTCAATCCATTACCTTCAGTAGTTATGGAGATACCAGCTTACATACACAAACTTAACCAAGAATTTCTAAGTCAAAAAAGGGGCATAATTATGTAAAAAAGCAAATCAGAGTTATGGGACTTGTGCCAATTATCTTAGATAATCACAGAGAACAAGTGTGTGAAGTTTCAATCCATTCCCTTCAGTAGTTATGGAGATACCAGCTTACACGCAAAAAACTTAACCAAGAATTTCTAAGTCGAAAAAGGGGCATAATTATGTAAAAAAGCAAATCAGAGTTATGGTACTTGTGCCAATTGTCTTAGATAAACACAGAGAACAAGTGTGTGAAGTTTCAATCAATTCCCTTCAGTAGTTATGGAGATAACAGCTTACATACACAAACTTAACTAAGAATTTCTAAGTCGAAAAAGGGGCATAATTATGAAAAAAAGCAAACCAGAGTTATGGGACTTGTGCCAATCATCTTAGATAATCACAGAGAACAAGTGTGTGAAGTTTCAATCCATTCCCTTCAGTAGTTATGGAGATACCAGCTTACATACAAAAACTTAACCAAGAATTTCTAAGTCGAAAAGGGGCATAATTATGAAAAAGCAAATCAGAGTTATGGACTTGTGCCAATCATCTTGATAATCACAGAGAACAAAGTGTGTGAAGTTTCAATCCATTCCCTTCAGTAGTTATGGAGATACCAGCTTACATACAAAAACTTAACCAAGAATTTCTAAGTCGAAAAAGGGGCATAATTATGAAAAAAAGCAAATCAGAGTTATGGGACTTGTGCCAATCATCTTAGATAATCACAGAGAACAAGTGTGTGAAGTTTCAATCCATTCCCTTCAGTAGTTATGGAGATACCAGCTTACATACAAAAACTTAACCACAGGGACGCCGACGCCGACAAATGGGTGACTGCATTAGCTCGATTATTCTGCGAATAGTCGAGCTAAAAAACTAGTGCACATATTTCAGTGTAATTAGGATGTCTCTCATTGTCTAGGGGATTTAAGCCTATCAAACTCAATGGTTACCTTTTGAGGGAACATATTTTTCAGCTATCACTTTAGGTGTTTCTGGGTAGAACTGTTGTAAGAGTTTGGCAACTTTATCTACAAACCCTCTCATCTCTTCTTCATGGGTCTGAAACATAAATTCATAAATATGACATTCTCAAGGGATCAAGGGATGGATGTCAATTCCATGCTTGACTACCTGTAGCTAATATGGTATTTATAGTCATTTTGATTTCTTATCTTTAGGATAAATCGTATCTTAGATATGATATAGGCATAATTTTTTTTCTAATTTTTTCGACTTTATAAAGATGACAATAAAAGGCTTACATCTGAACCGGAATCAACCACAAATCCAGGCCTAGTATCTTGAAATGTGAGGAATTCCTCAACCAGAAGGGCGACCGTCCTGCTTGTAGGCGGCTCTTTTCTGTGCAAGAAAAAAACATATATGTAAAACTTTATCTATTTTCTGCTAAATCTTACTGCACTTACATCTGAAATGGACTTTCTATCTGGTCAAAACCATACATCATTTTCAGAGGAAAATTTCAAAATCAGTACAGACTGAATAGCAAACAGTGCAGACCAAAATTAGACAGTATGGGCATGCCGACTTATATTAAGTCTGCACTGGTTGCATGGGTATATTCAGATGATGCCAGCAGGCTAATAGGTATTTGAATAATACATGCATGCAAGAATGCCTTTACTCAAATATGAAAATAATTCTTATATTTTGCCATGGTCTTTAAATTACTATATCCACTATTGTCATTACAGTTCTCAATCAAAACTACAATGCATATTCCCTTCTTCATGCAAGAGTAATAAATTTTACTTTACTTCATAAAGAACAGAGAGGTAAAGTTAATGTGACAGATGACATTTTTCAAATAATGGAGGAGTTAGTTTTTTCAAAAACCTGAAACTTGTATATCCCATGTAAGCAATTATAAATTGCCTGCCTGCTCAATAAAAACTTCATCTTTAAATAAGAGAATGAAATAAAACTTTCACACCAAACTTGCCCTAAGTTTTTTTCATAAACCGACAGTAAAAATGTAATTACCTGGGTACATTTGGTGCAGACACAGTTATAAATGGAACAATGAGCATGTGATCAACATCACGTAGCCTTGTTTTGGTTCTCATAGAAGCATGGTAGTATGACAAAACAGCCTTCATAGCATAGAACACTCCTGTAAATAAAATATAATAAATATATACACATATAAACATTGTATCACATAACAAAAAGATAATCAGGATGCTGCTATTTTGACCTCCATAGTTTGAAAACCAACTACAGGTATACAGTAATTTTTCTCACTTAATTAGGGAGAGGCCTTAGCCACTTGATTTGGGGGAAAATTATCACTAAGATTGCTTATTTAAGAAGTAATAAAGCAGGTTTAAGTTTAGATTTTTGGGAAAACTGCATGATTTTAAAGAAAATTTCAATTGGGAAGAGCCCTTTTTATCAGTCTGTTATATGAGTAGGAAAATCACTGGTGTATGTGTATTATATTATTTTCAAAAAAAAGTATATCATCACACTATAGAAGCAAAAAATGTTTTCATTAGAAACTTTTACTATAAACACTAATAAAAGATAAATTCTTAACAAAAATCTGTCATACATACTATGTAAATATTATTTGTCTAAGTTTTTAGCTTTTTCAAAAAACACAACAAAAGACTTATTGGTATATCAAAGGTATTATCTTTTAAGGTAGCAAATAGACACAGAGACATTTGTGCTTATAAATATAACAATTTGCACATAAGTTTCAACATAATATCTATATTTTAACTATTATGAATTAGGTTACAATTAATTCATAAACAATTATAAGCTGTACTTTTGCAAAAACTTGAAGTACAAGTATGTTAAATAAAGGCAGATAGTAAACATGTTCACTATAGCTATTTTTGTACAGTGTCCTGCAGTTATAAACAGTAAATGGGGGAGAAATCAAACATAAAAATAATAAAATAAGTTATTTCCCTTTATTTTTTTCAATTAATCACAATCAAAGGGAGGGAACTAAAAACAAAAAAATAATGGGGGAAAAATAGTTGTTCCCTTAAATGCAAAAAGGGAAAAATTATGAATATTTTTGTTCTTTTCCCAATTTAAATTTAATCTATGGAAATACAAATAAATTGCATTCCTTACCCCCAAGATCTAAAATTTTTCTTGATTTTGAAATTTTGTTGAATTTTTATCATTTCTGGTTAGGGGAAATCCCCTTTCTTCATCCAAATTTTAACAAATTATGTACTTTTTTCTTACGGGAAAAAAATCCCAAAATTATAAAATATCAACACCCTTCCTGAAAAGGGCTTCTATAATGTCCTTAAAAATTTTATTACTTTTCAGTAGATTTCCTTGTAAAAAAGTCTTGTTTTTTTTTAAAAAAATCTTTTTCTTTTAAAAGGGAAGTTTCAAATTTTTTTAAAACCCCCCCTTAATTCTTAAAAATTATAAAATTTATTTTACCCAATGTCAGAGCTAACCATTTATAGGATGATTAAATAGAACTTTCTACTTTTCCAGTAGAAAGTACAAGTAATAGTAAGAAACATCATTTGTAAAGTGTTTATATTTTTGAGTAATTTCGGAACTTACTATATAAGATTACTGCCTGTATAACATTTTTATTTCATATTTCAATACTACAGTTGCATCATGCAAACTTAACACACATCACTTATACTAGTAACTCAATGAAATTTTATAACTTTAAATATTGGTGAACCCTTGATCTATCTCCGTTATTGTACTGTAAATTGCTGACAGTCAATATCATGCAATGCCTAACTTCTTCTAATTAAGCCCTGAACCAAAAGGAAAATCTCATAATTATGACATGCATATTCTAAATACAAATTTGATAAAGAATTTTGCACAGTAATGTAGAAAAGCACACATTCAGATTGCCTCAATCTGTCTATCTAAAACATACCCTGTGCTACCTTAATACCTTATACACATATCAGTATGTGCAATTCACTTACCAGCATCAAAATGGTCTAAAATAATAGCATTTTTTTTATAATTTAAACAGATATTTACCTAAACAGTTTCAATAAACTTACACAATACATTTTATGCACCATTAAATTTAAACTCTAGAAGCAGTAGAGCTGTCATCGATATCGACAATATCGATGTATCGTTGATATTTTTTGTCGATCAATAATCGATACACATTTTAAAAAATCGATACTTTTGACTTATAAATTAAATGTCTAGAAATTATACAATTCACCCAAAATATATGCAGAAACAATTACTTATATCAAATGCGATGCTTTTTGTTATATGGAATTTTTTCATGGCAATTGGTTGACAAAAAATATTGTCTAGAACAAATCAGCATGGACAAGACACTGTACAGAACATGTTTTGACTGAAATCATTGAAACAGGTATGAAAATGAATGACAGACAAGTGAGTATAGGATATTATCGATATATCGGTGTATCGTTGATTTTAGTTACTTGATATCGATATATCGTTGATATGCTTTGCACTGAATCAATGACAGCTCTAAGAAGCAGTACCGTGAGGGGACTGGAATTTTTTTACCTTCAATCTTCCCACACTGCAGGATCAATGCAGTGGTTTTGTTTTGGAGTCCAAATAGCAAGGGATAGGTTCAACCTGTGTGCATGAGGATTAATCTAAGACTTTACTATTCCTGCAAGAGGGGACTTTTACTAGTGGTTGATAATCCAAAGATAATCCTTGCTATTCCCTGGAGGTTGGGGTCTGATTTGCAATTCACTGGTGAATAGCTTACATCAGGCAAGTGGTTAAGGTGTCCTCTCTTGCCTAGAAAAGGGACGAGGACTGGCATCTTCCAGTCTTTTGTGTCCGAAGAATATATATTCTATTTGGAGTCATGCTTATAACTTCTCGATATTCCAAGAATTTTGAATATTACTTTTATATCTGTACTGTACTTATCTATTCAGTGTGACTTAAAACATCATAAACAAATTCTTCATAAACATGTTAAAAAGCACTTCCATATACTTACATTAACAATTATGTTGTTAAAAATTGTTAGAAGAATACCTTTGCTGGTTGACTTCTTTTTACTAACAAATTTTGAATATAGATATCTTTGTATGAGATTTTTGTCCAATAAAGAACAGTTATGATATTTTGCCTTGTAAAATTGAATTTTCAATATAAAAGAAAAATTTCGAAAATCCAAGGGCCCAAATTTTATTTTTATACATCCTTTATATAAATTTTAAAAAAAATTTTACCTTTTGTTTTTTTAAAAATAAAACCCCTCCATCCCAGCTGCCCTTTTTTTTAAAACCCCTTTGGTTTGTTTTTAAAACAAAAAGGAGACCCTTTGACTTCATCTCTTGGCCATTTTCTTCAATGTAAACTCAGAGCCCCATCCTCAGCCTAAAATCTGTTTGTAACATCATAAATCATATTCACAGTTCTCTTTTTACTTTTAATTTGTAACTGAACTTGCCAAAGAAGTTTTAAATTGACCACTAGAACAGTGTATCTAACCCATTCATGATTAATACGTCCTATTTACATTTATCACCAGTATGTGAAATGAGTGATTGTTACACAGAAACTGAATAATTTGTCAAATTACAGAGTAATCTGAGATTGGAATATGGCTGAAAGCTAACATTGTATTTCCACATTTGCCAGCTTTGCCAAAAAAAATAAGCCTAAAACTAATGTAGTCAGATCCTTAACATCTAGCATGAAGACAGTGAAGTACGGTATATTAAAAAAAATGTTTTTACACAGTTAACAAAATTCAGAAAAAAGAATCACCTCTACTTTTGATTTTTAAAGAATCTGATGACACGCAAATTACCTATAACAAGGGTACAGATTTTGTTCCTATAGGATGTTCTTCCAGTAATTGTCTTGATGTCTCCTCATTCAAGTTCTGATCCAGCAGAACTGATACTTTTTTGTACAAGTTAGAATAAGTTGATCCTGTAAAAAAAGTTAAGATTTGATTAACATTAACATATTTTTTCATAAATTTAAAAAAAAAGGAAGATGACTGTTCTCTATAAATCATAGTGAAACGTACATGTGTATGTCTTTTTTTTTTTAAATATTATTGATACCAATTTTACAATAATTACACTCCATGTTAATATATACTTTATCAATAATTAAGGTTTTTATACATACCTCCATCAATAGCTTTGGTAGCTCTTTGCATAAACAATTCTTTTTCAGCCTCCGAGAGGTCTGTGAAATATTGAACATGGCTCTCTGTAAGTTGCTGTTGAATGGCATCATGTAACTCTTTCAAAAATGCCTTCCATTCCTGAAAAATTAATATGATACATGCTTGAAATGAAATGTAATAGGAAATAATGAAATCAAAAGGGGAAATATGGTGGCGGGATGGCCAAGAGGTTAATATGCAGGAATTGTAATCTAAGGATTGCTAGCCAATTGGGTTTAAACCTCAATAGGGGCAAGCTGTTGTTTCTTTGAGCAAGAAACTTTACACACATGGCTCAGTACTGGTTTTTCCAGGAAACAGATTCTAGAGTGTCTATAAGCTAATAGCTTCCTATGACAATGTTCAGGTAATATATAATTCTTGTACTGTATTTTCCATTATAATAATTCTTTACATAAATGACTAATCTGACATAATGTCCATACCATTTGTCATCTCATGGAAACAGTCAAAGAACACAAACAATTGCAATGTTTATATGAATAAAGTTTTGAGTGTTGCGATCTGATATAAACAGATAAAGGAAAGTTATAAAAATAAGTGATGCAGACACTGTATACATCAATATATAGGTGGTATACTTAACTGCTTAGTGTTACAATGCTACATATTTTACTTCCTTAAGTATTAGTATACTACACTGCTATGGAATTAACAGTGTTTTATATAATTAGGCCTACATTTATTGTCACAAAATTCAATCTTAAAACTTTATTTATGGATCAAAAATTTTGTCTTGGTATCTCTTCTTTTAAGTAACAAAGATTATTTTAAAAAAAAAATATGCTGCCGACTTTTTAATTTCTACTTGTTAGTGATCGTTCCTCTTAATTACTCTTACAATTTTATTGTAATAATCCTTAAAGATTTTTAATAGAGGGCCAAGTTGACCCATGCTGCCTTGACCTGTGCCGAGTTGGTATAGGGCCAAGTTGACTATTTACCTTAACTGAATGAGAGAAAGTCCATAAGGGGTGGTTAAATATAGTCTTTTATAGATCGACATTAAAATATTTTCGCTCTCAAAATTACTGAGAAAAGTTATCTTTACTAAAATACTAAAGAGATATAGATCTCCTTCAATCAATATATTAGATAATTGTGGTAATAATTGATACATGTACTCTTTGGGTCACTGAAACTGGTACTTCAATGTTAGATTTATATTGTGGATCCTAAAATTTACATAAACAAGAACAAAATTATTCTGTTATTTTATCAACCAAACTCTAATTAAAACTTTATATGAATACATTTCCGAAAAGAAAAAAATCTAAGATGCTTTCTTTAAAACATATCATTTTAAAACAAATAACATACAACAGTTCCAGATATATTTTCTTTACTATCTAACAGCCATTTCGGGTATCCTTGTAATGCCGCCATTTGTAAACAACTTTCTGCCTATCCGGTGTTTTGTTAAATCCATTTTGATTGGATAGAATTTACTACGGACCAATCATATCTTAGATTACATTTTCTCTTTGGGAAATTTCAAGATGGTTGACTACAGAGACGTGTACCATTTTTTCATGATTTTTTCAGGTAATTTAAAAGCGACATTTATTTGCACGGTCTGTGAGGCCATATTCTGAAAAGTATATTAAAATTACATCATCTGATAACACTGTCATTAAAATCAACAGGCAATATTTTGCATTATTCTAGTTTGTCATATGTTTTCGCAGCTAATATTTTCTTCCTTTTTTGTGTCAAGTGTTTGTATGCACTTGTGCTATGAACCCTTCATCATGTTGTTGTTTATCTTTTATATATTCTTTGTAGTTTTAATCACATGCATTTAAAAGTGAGCTCGAAGAGCTGGCGCGAAGGGCCTGCTTGCAAAGCGAGCTTTACTTTTACAGCACAGGAACTTGAAATTCTATCAATATTAATGATAATATCCAAAATATACCCCCTATACAGTATAAATAAACACAAGGAATGAAACGCCTTTTCCCCACCCCAACATAATTATCGCGTAAATTATGCTGGGGTAGGGAAAAGGCGTTTCATTCCTTGTGTTTATTTATACTGTATAGGGGGTATATTTTGGATATTATCATAAATATTGATAGAATTTCAAGTTCCTGTGCTTTACAGTAACAGGAGTTCCAGCTAGAAAGTGATGGTTTTGAAAACTTTCGTCCAAAGTACTGAATCAACACATCGCAATGTTTCGAATTACAAGATAACTATAAAAGCAAAGGTATTCTGATTGGAAATGGAAGTGTAGACTGATGGGAACCATAATACCACAGGGAACCAGAATAAACAGAAGCAGTGTCTATAATATCGGATGACATTTTTAAAAACGGAAAATGTAAAATAAAAATGAATGATTATTTTATACTATTTCACGGTATTAGAAAATCGAGCTCGCTTTGAGGCTTTGACGTTTTCATATTATGTCATGTTTTATATAATTAAACTTGTGAGAGTTATTGCCATTTAATGATTTTTATTTCTAAAGTTTGTCTGGACATTTCTCTAATACAACTAAAGCAATTTCCGTGAAATTTTACAGGATTGATCTGTAGCTCAAGTACAGTATTTGTGCATATTACACGGATTTTCCAGTTGAATGATTTTTGGCAAAGTTATGGCCCTTGAATAAAAATGGTGCTTTTTGTGTGTTGCCAGGTATACATAATCTTGTCCGAACTACTTCTCACTTCTCAGAAACTACCGGTTGCAATTTCATTCAAACCTTACAGGAATGATCAGTACCAAGTCTAGTTGTGCATATCATTAGCTTTTTATAGTTCAATGATTTTTGTCATGAGTTATGATTTTTTGTGATTTTTTTTTTCAAGTTTGTCTGGACTGCTCCTCTCATACCATTAATGCAATTCAATGAAACTTTACAAGATTGATTAGTAGCTCAAGTACTTTCGCATATTACTATATATATACTTGGTTATTTCGCTTGTATGATTTTTGGCTGAGTTATGGCCTTTGAATAAAAAAGGTGTTTATAAATTTTTTGCCCGGGCCCTACTTTTTATACACCCAATTTTAAAATTTTTCATTAAAACTTTACGGGATTGTTTTTGGAAACCCTAAAAGGTCCCGGTGTAAAAACGGGTTTTTTCTCCCTTGAATTTTTTTTGCCAATTTTAGGGCCCGGGTCAAAAAAAAGGTGTTTTTTTTGTGTTGTTACCCTTCATGACCCCTTTTTTACCCCCTACAAACGCATTTCCCCCATAAAACTTTACGGGGAAATTACCCAATACCTTTTGCCTAGTTGTGAATCCTTTCAAAAATGTTTTTGTTTTAAATTTGATTTTTGGGCGGGATTTTTAGGGCCCCTTTTTCATGTTTTTTGATTTTTTAAAAATTTGCCCGGACTACTCCTTTTTATACCATTTATGAAATTTTTCATGAATCTCTACGGGATTGATTTTTTAATTTTTTCCAAGTATTTTGCTAATTTTAAAACGGGTTTTTCTTTTTTTGGATGAATTTTAACCCCATTTAGGGTCCCGGAATAAAAAACCCCGGTTCCCTGCCCTTTTTAATGTTTTTTGGGGGTCCCCTCCCCTACCCCAGTAGCTGCAACATAAATTTGGGCTTTCATGGGGTGAAGCTTTGGGGATCTTTAAATTCCCCTTTTGATTTGTCAAATCGGACATTTAGTAGAAAAATTATTTTTAAATTATTTTGCCCAAATAATTGATAAAAAAGAAATTGGGGAATTTTTAATTTTGAGAAGAAAAAAATTACCCTATATTTTTGCACTTACTTTTTAAAATTAAAGGGAAAGCAAACCCCTAAAAGGGGAAATTTCAAAAAAAAAGTTTCATGTTTATTTACTTTTTATGTTTTTTTAAGGGTCTCTTTAAATTTTTTGGTATTTCATGTACCGGGCTTCTATTTTCAATCGGAACACCTCAACAGTTATTCTTCACCGAAAAGTTGTGATTGTTCTGTTATTGGAATACCCCTGCAATTTTCATTGAGTCATAATGAAAATGGTGGCAGTCAACTTATAATAGCACTGAAAATTTCACTGATAGGTATAAAATTCTATATAATTATATATTTTAAATTTTTTTTTGATTCCTTTTAAATAGAGACATGTTGTCAATAGCTGGGCAAGCCAAAGCCCAGGACCGCTTCTTTGTCCGATAGACAAAATATGAATACAAAATATTCATGAATATGTTTATTTCAGTATTGGTAACAGTCAAGGGAAACAACTCTCAGGAATATGGTAAGTCTTCAAAATTCAGATTATTAGATTTTCTTTAGTCTTTGTTAAGACTTATAGTAGTTAGAGATGAAAAAATAAGTAATTTAGAGGACATCACACCCTTTTTGACTTGGTGAAATGAAAATTTTATCCCTTTCGTTTGAACTTGTGTCACCACTTTGTTGAACTGTTTTACAGTAACTACTTAAAGTATAAAGTTAATATTGCACTTTTTATCTCAACAGATGTAAGACTTGGTGATGTTGTGATCGTTGTTTTATCCCAGTCAAACCCGTACCATGCTAGCAGGGCGAGGGAGCTACAGATACAGCTGATGAATCAGATGGTAGAAATGCCCAAAGACAATAAACCTGCTATATACCTGACTCATAAAAAATGGCCTACAATAGGAACATGGACAATATTTCCATTACTAGAAAAGTACAGTATTTTATATTATACTTGTAGTTAGGCTCAATATTAAAATAGAAATAAGGATTTATATTTTATCCTGAACTATGTCATCATTTTACCAAGTTACAATATAAGAGGAGCTTGTTTTTTTCAGTAACCATAAAATTTAACCAGTCTAAATAACATTGAAAAACCATATTAGGTGATGATAAATTAACATGTATGGTTTTAACCCAGTATAACCCTAGATGGAGTTTCAAAGTCATACTTTAGGAAACTGTTCTGATATTTTGGAATATTCACAATTGATGTAAAATTTTTCATGTTATTTGCAAGTTGGTCAGAATTCCATTTTTTATCACCATTTTTCTGTATTGGCTTCATTTCAAGTACCAGTACGTGACAAGTTTAAATGGTTCCCTGTGGGGGGAAATTTTTAATAACTTAAAAATATTTTATTTAACTCTTTTCAAAATTGTTGGGGAAAAAAAAAACAACAACAAAAAGGTATAGTTGACAAAAATCGATCAATAGAAAAAGGTCATTGGAGACCAGTGACAGTCGGAGATAGGAGCGGGCGATTAGTAGGTCAACATCTGTATCATTCATTAATGACGTGTAATAACTATCTGAATGCTCCAGTCTGCTGGGAATGAAGTGTTCTGAATGAATTTTGATATAAGTTTGTGGATGTACAATTGATATAGGGAGTCATTCCTTTATGTTTTAGGTGGCAACAGAACTTTCCCATAGCAAAGTGGATATTTTTCTGTGAAGATGAAACAAGAATTCACCTACAAGAAATGGAGAAGTTTATACAAAAATTTGACCCAACAAAGGTAAAAATATTTTGTACTTTTCATTTCATTTGTTAATATTGTATCACTATGATAAGTTGCAAGAACTTGTTTAAATAAACTTACTAACATGGTATTGCTTAATACACGGAGCTTTATGAGAGAGGAACTTCATTTACTTATCTCAATTTCTACTTTTATCTTAGCAGTAAAAGAAACAAAGCTTAAAAAATCCTCTAGAAATATATATATAAAAACATATACAGTAAATGCTGAAATATATACTTTATGAACAATGGTAATTCAGTGTCTATTCTCAGATTCGAAAAACAGGGGGGATTTTTAGCGAAAAGTGAGAATTAATTACATTTGTTGATCTTTTTCCTTCTTTGTCTATGTAAAATTTTCCCCCTGCCTCTGAAAAAATAGGGGGAAATTCTCAAAAAGATGAGTGAATCTCCCCTTCTAGAATAGACACTATTTCTTTCGTTCTTGCAAATTATGAAACTTGTACAATGGTATTATCTTGAATTGAATTTTGAACAGTGAATTTGTAGCAAGAGAAATACTCATCTTTGAGGAAAATTTCAAAATATTAGTATTGACCGACTAGCGATCAAACACTGCATATCATGATCACGAATGTGTGGACTGATCTTGGTCTGCACGGGTCCCATGGCTAGATTCAGTTGCCGCCAGCCAGGGTAAGAGTTAGGGAGTTCATAAGCAAAATTCTATAATTAAGCTGCCAAAATGGAAGTTTATCTCAGAATTGTATACATGAGGCAATTAAAGAAATACAATGTGATGAATACATGTATATACTATTGTACATGTTTAATGTTTCAGGACTGGTTTATTGGTCATGAATTGAAAGATAAAGAACCAACAATCATTCATCATTTTACGTCACCAGACAAACTGACCTTCCCAGACTTTGCTGCGGGTGTCTTCCTCAGTATGCCACTGATAAACAAGTAAGATCTTAGTACCTGTTGCATCATTTAATTTTATAGTCATTTGTTGTCCTTTTATGACCTTGAAAGGAGGTACAATTAACTGTTGTATCTTGACATTGCTTTTCTTTATTTTTATTTTTTTTTTTTGTGGTAAAAACTTTTTGAGGATATTGTGTTATATTGTATTATTCAGCTTCTGTAAAATGATATTTTACACAATTTATGTTATAATGCTTCTATTTACTTAGAATGGCATCAAGATGGCCCGATGAGAATTTCAGATCCGACTTTGCCATAGATCCAAAACACGAGGTAATGTAACTGTATTATACTGATTGATCTGTATTGGATTCCTGTTGCAATTGTTTTTGCATAAAATATTAGATATTTTTTATGTGTAAATATTTTTAATCAGAGAATTTGATATTCATAACAAAGATTTTCTGTTATAGGCCATTAAAGTTTAACTTCACCACTTTGTCTTCCTCTACCAGTAAAGCTTGAAAGTTGCCATATGACCTTTGCAGAGTTGGTATGACGTAAAACCCAACCCAACGGAAAATAGTTTAAGTTTCTATTTGCAATCACTTAATTAAATTCTGATTTAGCACATTATTCTTCCTTAGGTGTGAATTCTACTTGTGTATTCTGTACATTTTATACATGTTATGCACATTCTCTATTTCAGTTGGCGTCTTACATTCTCCTGGATGATGTTAAACTTACACATGCTCCAGAATTATGTTTAACTGAAGATGAGCCTAATTGTGTAGCATATATTGCTCAGAAATTTCCCGACTGTGTAAGGTTTTATTCTCATTTTCAAAGATTTAAAAAAAAATCATTTATTAAGTCTGAAGTTTAAGAAATAGATTTTAAATTTGTGTGTGTTTTTGTAGAATGATGCACAGTTTGAGTTAACTTGTGTAGTTATTTAATCATATAGGCCTTCTGAGTGATTACAAAGCATTTGAATGATAAACCATGCGTTATTGTACTACAAGGTAGAAGAAATTGATATCTGTTTTAGTTCTGACAGAGAAAGAAAGTTTATGTATTGAACTACAGCCAGCATAGATGTAATTTTCATGACATAATTTGGTTTATTGACATCACATGTGATGTCATATTGTGTTTAAATATTCCTTCCCTTAATTCTGAGCACTACTATGCTCGGTCTGTTTGATTAATGATGAAATAAATAGTTTGAAGCATTTTTGAATAATTGATACTGAATAATTGAACTGAGAATTAGTATATACATGTATTTGAGATGGCTCAAACCACTGGGGTCAATGCATGAACTTTTAAGATTGATGACTTAAAATAATTTGCCTCTCACAATTATGTGTTCAAGTTTTTAAATTATTTAATGTGAAGAACCTGTCCAACTTACTGAAAGGAGAAATCCACCTACCTGGGTGCCTATTCCTGTGACAACTGGCAGTGCTGGAGAAAATTTATGTAAGAAAAAATTCAAGAGATGATCACTATGATCCCCAAATAATGTTTTTATACCCTTGAAGTACAATTTATATACAAGGATTTTTATAGGGAGTTTTATTGATATAAAATGGCAGCCTATACAATCAGATATCTATGGTAGATGTATTTATACACTGTTTTACTACATACAGGGGGCACCAGTAGCAGATGAGGATTTGTTTGTTGCTGTGAAAACTTGTGAAAAATTTCATGAAGATAGAGGTATGTACTTACATTAGCTTGATTGAGAGGTATGTTCTTAAATTAGCTTGATTGAGAGGTATGTTCTTAAATTAGCTTGATTGAGAGGTATGTTCTTTAACTAGCTTGATTGAGAACATCTTAAATTTGCTTGATTAGAGGGTTTAAATTTAAAAAACCTTGATTTTGGCATGTTTAAAAATTTTTTTAAGGAGAACTTAAATAAGCTTGATTGAGAGGTTAAATTTAATGTTTTTAGGAGGTTTGGAATTAAATAGCGATGAAGGGATGAAAATTTTAAATTTCCGGATTATTGAGGTTATGAACTTAATTTGCTTTTATTTAGTGGTACAACATAATTAGCTTAATTGAAAGTCAATCATGATATAAATTTAATTCTTATTAAAAAAGATATAAGAATAACAGAATGGATTTAGTTTTATTAATATAATAATATCTTAATATCTTTTCTACAAATTTATAAAAGATATTTGAGAAATATGAGATGTACATGAATTTACAAAATGTGAATAAAAAATATACCCTTGTCTCCTCTTTTTTAGCTCACCTGTCACAAAGTGACAGGGTGAGCTTTTGTGATCGCTTTTCGTCCGGTGTCCGTCCGTCGTCCGTCCATCGTCCGTCCGTCCGTAAACTTTTACTTTAAATGACATCTCCTCATAAACCACAAAGCCAATTTCATCCAAACTTCACAGGAATGTTCCTTTGGTGGTCACCTTTAAAAATTGTTCAAAGAATTTAATTCCATGCAGAACTCTGGTTGCTATGGCAACCGAAAGAAAAAACTTTAAATATCTTCTTTTAAAAAACCATAAGAGCTAGAGCTTAGATATTTGGCATGAAACGTCTTCTAGTGAGTGTTTACCAAGTTTGTTCAAATAAAAGCCCTGGGGTCAAAATTGGCCCCGCCCCAGGGGGTCATTGATTTTCCCTATATGCATATAGTAAAAACTTAAAAAATCTTCTTTTAAAGAACCCAAAGAGCTAGAGCTAAGATATTTAGCATGAAACATGTTCTTATGGGTGTCTACCAAGTTTGTTCAAATAAAAGCCCTGGGGTCAAAATTGGCCCCGCCCGGGGGGTCATTGATTTTCCCTATATGCATATAGTAAAAACTTAAAAAATCTTCTTTTAAAGAACTCAAAGAGCTATGGCTAAGATTTTGAGCATCAAACATGTTCTAATAGGTGTCTACCAAGTTTGTTCAAATAAAAGCCCTGGGGTCAAAATTGGCCCCGCCCCAGGGGGTCATTGATTTTCCCTATATGCATATAGTAAAAACTTAAAAAATCTTCTTTTAAAGAACCCAAAGAGTTAGAGCTAAGATATTTAGCATGAAACATGTTCTAATAAGTGTCTACCAAGTTTGTTCAAATAAAAGCCCTGGGGTCAAAATTTGCCCCGCCCGGGGGGTCATTGATTTTCCCTATATGCATTTAGTAAAAACTTAAAAAATCTTCTTTTAAAGAACTCAAAGGGATATGGCTAAGATATTTAGCATGAAACATGTTCTAATAGGTGTCTACCAAGTTTGTTCAAATAAAAGCCCTGGGGTCAAAATTGGCACCGCCCCGGGGGTCATTGATTTTCCTTATATGTGTATAGCAAAAACTTAAAATATCTTCTTTGAAAAAACCCAAATAGCTAGAGTTAAGATATTAAGCATGAAACATCTTTTAGTGAGTGTCTACAAAGTTTGTTCAAATAAAAGACCTGGAGTCAAAATTGGCCCCGCCCCAGGGGTCATTGATTTTCTTTATATGTGTATAGCAAAAACTTAAAATCTTCTTTGAAAAAACCCAAATAGCTAGAGTTTAGATATTAAGCATGAAACATCTTCTAGTAAGTGTCTACAAAGTTTGTTCAAATAAAAGCCCTGGGGTCAAAACTGGCCCGGCCCAGGGGTGTCATTGTTTTTAACTATATGTGTATAGTAAAAACTTTAAAAAAATCTTCTTTTAAAAAGCCCAATGAGCTAGAGCTTAGATGTTTAGCATGAAACATCTTCTTATGGGTGTCTACCAAGTTTGTGCAAATAAAAGCCCTTGGGTTAAAATTGGCCCTGCAACGTTGGGGGGGGGGGGGTTGGGGGCCTATATACAGGTGAGCGGCCTCAGGGCCATTATGGCCCTCTTGTTTTTTTTTTTGGACAGCTAGCCTTTAACATTTTTGTTATAGTGATGAAGTGAGAAGGAAAGTATTTGAGGTATTTTGGGAGTGAAAAATGAAAGAAACAAGAAGTTTTATCAGATTCCACAGCTTATATATAATATATATATATATTTTTTTTTTTTTTTTTTTTCAAAAATGAAATTATTATATAATAAATTACATACTTTCTATTTCTAGTTCCAATTGTGTTAGAAACATGGGCACAGGAGAGTTCTAATATAGAGTTTTACAGTGAGAAGGAAGATAGTTCTATACCAACTATAGATCTTGGTGTACCTAATACAGAGAGAGGTATATCTTAGATTTATTTCAATTTTGTTTTTAAGTAGGGATAATTTGGGTAGATGACAATTTATAAAAAAACATTGTCGAACAGTTTAACAAGACATTGATCAATGACTTTGATTGGAATATCCTATAATGTATACTACGACATTTAAAATGACAGTGGAGTTCTTGTTGTGTACTACCTAAATATAGATGTTATCTCTATTATGAACTTCAGAGTCCTATATTTTCCATAAGAAAGCTTTAGATATGGATGCTATGTAATTTTATTTCTCAGAACAAATATCAACACTGGTTACTTGATGTTTGTCGACCATTTTGTTGGTGTTTTTTGCCAACTATTTGTCACATTGGTCTTTTGACTTGTTGGTCTTATGTCATGTCAACATTGTGTTGCACTCCTGATAATTTTTTGTAAGTTTCCAATATAGAGCCATGCAAGTCAGCATTCTATATTTATTTTAACTTTTTTTACAAACTTGAGCAGTTTAAAGGTTATTTGTTCTTGTTTGGCTAAAACACTAATCAGCTATATCATTGGCCTCAAGCCCTCACACATTGTAGTTGGAAAATTAGCACAGTTTGTCCCTTCACGCAGTTTAACAATAAAAACTATTTATTAACCAGTAAAAATATTTTTTCCTTGTGTCACAGTGATTACATTAGGATTATGCAAAGATTAAATGTAAAAATTTCAATGAAATATTTATAGGGCATTGTGGGAAGACAATGGCGATAATGAAGAGAGTGGTGACAACCCCAGAGCTGATGAAGAAACAATGGTTATTGATTGCTGATGATGATACCATTATAAAGTAATGTTTTATGTGAAATATTATAAAAATGAGCCGCGCCATGACAAAACCAACATAGTGTGTTTGAGACCAGTATGGATCCAGACGAGCCTGCGCATCCGCGCAGTCTGATCAGAATCCATGCTGTTGGCTATCAGTTTCTCTACTTGTGATAGGGTTTGTAAGCAAATAGCTTGGATCCTGACCAGACTGCGCGGATGTGCAGACTGGTCTGGATCTATGCTTGTTGCAAACGCACTATGATGGTTTTGTCATGATGCGGCTCAAATATCCTTGAAATTTGTAAACCAGTCTAGATGATAAAAGAATCAAAAACCAATTATGACATACTGTCTTGATAGAGTGTCTTAATCATCGAAGATTTTGCACATACTTAACTTATATAGGCCTTAATTCATCAAATGGAACATCAATCCCGAAAAATTATTTCCAGTTCCGTCATGTCCAAAAGCGTCATACGATTCCCTTTAATGTGCTAAGGAAGAATGTGAAGAAAGCATATTTCTGTTTCTGCTCGTTGGAAGTAACCAGTACAGGCATCATGGTTGTGCCTGCAGTAGGGATCGAATCCATGATCCTCCATTGAGAGCAAGACACATTAACCACTAGGACACTGCTCCTATTGGTTCTAAATTTATAAAACATACATGTATATAATTATGTAGTGTCACATTTGCAAAGAAAATTTAAATTATCCATTTGAAAATCACATCTGTATTATTTAATTACAGTTTACCCAGACTGCGTCACCTTCTGTCATGTTACGATCACAACAGTCATGTTGCTATTGGTGAACGCTATGGTTACCAGGTGTCAAAAGGTTACGGATATGACTATATAACTGGAGGTGGCGGGTAAGTGTATTTGTATATTGTACTTGTAAAATGTTTGTTAGATGTTTGTTCTTTTTACAAATGATTTTAGTATCTAGCCTTTTCCAAAGTTATTTGATTTGCAAAAAATGAAGATCAGATGTGTCAGACTGGCAACTGAGCAGGTGTAAACAATTTTTATGCCCTCACAAAGTGGGAGCGAATAGCTTCCGTACGTCCCGAAATCTGGTGAACGCAACTCCTCTTAAACTGGATGGCAGATTTTGCTTAAACTTCCAGGGATGAACAACCTTAATGTGTAGATGGTTGTAAAGGAAGGAATTTTTGCTGCGACCAAATTTAACAGAATTATGGCCCTTTGTTGATTTTTTCACTATATACTATGTAGAAATTTTGTAAACGCAACTCCTCTTAAACCGAATGGCAGATTTTGCTTAAACTTCCAGGGATGAACAAGCTTAATGTGTAGATGGTAGTAAAGGAAGGAATTTGTTCTGCGACCAAATTTAACAGAATTATGGCCTTTGTTGATTTTTTCACTATATACTATGTAGAAATTTTGTGAACGCAACTCCTCTTAAACTGGATGGCAGATTTTGCTTAAACTTCTAGGGATGAACAACCTTAATGTGTAGATGGAAGCTAAGGAAGGAATTTTTGCTATGACCAAATTTAATAGAATTATGGCCCTTTGTTGATTTTTTCACTATATACCATATAGAAATTTTGTGAACGCAACTCCTCTTAAACCGGTGCACATCTGCACAGTGGGGGCATCCATGTCCTTTGGACACAGTTTTAGTTTATCACTGCAGCATCTTCAACATTTGTCTAGAGATTTTAATTTACCAATCATTCACAGAATTCTTATCACCTATTGCCCTTATGCATATTGTTGACGTTTTGTGACCAAAAATATGGCCCTTTTATGTTGTTATATATATATTGATAAATTATCCTTTGCAACTGCTCATATATTTATCAAGCAATTTCCACCAAACATACACAGAACTATTGTCAGCAAGTGCTCCCAGTGCATATTCAATACAAATGATGAATAAATTGTAAATTTACAATACAAAGATAAAGTAAGATTCACTAGTAAAGTGTTTTATTGTGTATTTCTACAAGTTATTATTTAAGGCAACAAATCATTTAATACTTTGTATATACCAGGATGGTGTTCAGTATGCCGGTGGTACAGAGGCTTGTTGACGAGTGTCAGTGTTCATCTAACGACTCACCAGATGACATGATTATAGGAATGTGCTTACGGCGGTTTGAAATTCCCATAACACATGTGCCATATCTACATCAGGTAAGCTAACTTAATTCATAGAATTCTAGTTTACTTTGTTAAGAAAGCTTGAAGCATGTTATGGTTACCATACAACAATTGCTTTTTTTTATAAATTTGGCCACTTTGGTTTGTTAACATTCACATTTGGATGGCAGTAAATGTTGCTCATAGAGATATCAAAGGGATTTTCCTAATTAACAAATAGCCCACTTAAGTGACTTTGTAGGGGTTTACATATTAAAATTGTGATGTGGTATAAGTACGCTTAGACCCTCTTAAGTAAATATTAACCCTTTCACTGTTATTTTCGGCGTATTTGCCATATGGACGGCTTTAGCTGTTTCTATAATAATAATAGTAATAATAATAAATTAAAAATAATAATAAACATACAGAAAATTATTCCATCGACAACAATTATTATTATACTGACAGATTTGGAAACATATATAATTATTATAATACTAATAACAAATAGTAATAATTATTAGTCCCCTACCGGTTTACCGGAGGGGACTTTAGGTTTACCCTCCGTCCGTCTGTCCGTCTGTCCGTCCGTCTGTCCGTCTGTCTGTCAGTCCGTCAGTCCGTCCGTCCACAAAACTGGATCCCGCGATAACTTGAAAAGTACTGAAAATATTTTTATGAAACTTGATATATGGATAGATGGCAGTATGGAGATTATGCACGTCTTTTTCTTTTCTTCCTATGTTGAAAATTCTGGTTGCTATGGCAACAAATAGGCTGAAAATATGGCAAATTTTACACATAAACTGGATCCAGTGATAACGCAAAAAGTACTGGAAATATTTTTATGAAACTTGATATATGGATAGATGGCAGTATGGAGATTATGCACGTCTTTTTCTTTTCTTCCTATGTTGAAAATTCTGGTTGCTATGGCAACAAATAGGCTGAAAATATGGCAAATTTTACACATAAACTGGATCCAGTGATAACGCAAAAAGTACTGGAAATATTTTTATGAAACTTGATATATGGATAGATGGCAGTATGGAGATTATGCACGTCTTTTTCTTTTCTTCCTATGTTGAAAATTCTGGTTGCTATGGCAACAAATAGGCTGAAAATATGGCAAATTTTACACATAAACTGGATCCAGTGATAACGCAAAAAGTACTGGAAATATTTTTATGAAACTTGATATATGGATAGATGGCAGTATGGAGATTATGCACGTCTTTTTCTTTTCTTCCTATGTTGAAAATTCTGGTTGCTATGGCAACAAATAGACTGAAAATATGGCAATTTTTACACATAAACTGGATCCAGTGTTAACGCAAAAAGTACTGGAAATATTTTTATGAAACTTGATATATGTGTAGATGGCAGTCTGGAGATTATACATGTCTTTTTCTTTTCTTCCTATGTTGAAAATTCTGGTTGCTATGGCAACACATAGACTGAAAATATGGCAAATTTTACACATAAACTGAATCCAGCGGTAACTCAAAAAGTACTGGAAATATTTTTATGAAACTTGACAAATGGGTAGATGGCAATCTTGAGATTATGCAGGTCTTATCAGTTCCCCCTATTTTGAAAAAATATTGGTTGCCTTGGCAACAAATAGGCTTAAAACATGGCAAATATAACAATATTTGTGACTAGTCAAAAAGAGCTGAAACTTTTTATGAAATTGCATCTTTAATTCCAGAGTTATCTCCTCTTTAAGAATTTTGCTTTTTAAAATGTTATATTTTGGTAACAGGGATGTTTCAAATATTAACTTTAGAGTGTACTTCAGTTCGTCTGTCTGTCTGTTCGTAAAAACTTTTTCCTGTGATCACTTTTAAAGAACATTTCCAACAAATTTACTTAAAATAGAGAAAAATTTACACATTAGTGAATGGCCAATGGCCCTTCAGAATGCTGATGGGGTTCTATCCGGTAGGGGACTTATGGATTGCTTGCAATACTATGATAATTGCTTGTATTAATTAATAATATGGTAATTTCTTAGAAAACCCTCTGGCAAATAGGTGATCAATAAAACAATAACCCTCTGGCAGCGAAAGGGTTAATAGAATATAATCATAAGGATATTCCATCAGTGTTATTTCATGGACTTCCCAACAATCTTATTTTGTAGGGCTCTAAGGCAATGACACTTAAAGGATTTTTCAGCATGTAAATTGATTTTCATTTTACTTTGATCTTTTCCAAGTCTAAAACCGTTTTTAAGATGATTATCTGTTTTATAATATGGATAAACATTTTTTTGTTTTTTTTTAACAAAGCTTGCTATAACACAGTAGTATTCACATATTTTTCCATTGTGTGCTTTCAGGCTCGCCCCGATGATTATTCTGAAGGCTACCTCAGTCGCCATATTCCTGTCTCATTTCATAAACATTGGAACTGTGATCCAATCAAAATCTACCATATGCTCAAAGAATATGATACAAAATCTCAACAGCCAAAGAGAAAGTCTGAACGCAAAACTTCTGGTTCCAGTGTTAATAATCATGAAGAGTTGTAAAGAGTGATATTTTTATGACCGTTATCTTGTTGAAACATAAAGTGATTAGCCTTTGCTACCAGTATTGAGCCAGGCCAGCAGGCATATCTATATAGTCTGACCAGGCTTTATTCTGTTGGCTAACAGGGTCCATACTGTCAGTGCCTGGACCCTCTTTAAGCATAGATACATATACTGTTGGCTAACAGGGTCCATACTGTCAGTGCCTGGACCCTCTTTAACCCTTTACCTCATATATACACGAAACAATGCACTTTCGACCCCCCCCCCCCTTTAGGCCTGAAGTAGTGAAAAAATGTCCTATTTGGGCCCCAAACAAATGTTTTCGTTTGAGAAATGTTGCTGAAAAAAGTGAGCACCTTTTTGGCGCCACCCCCATCCAAAAGGGTTTGAAGGGGGGGGGCGGAGTCCCCCTCATCGCCAAGAAAATTTTGGACTTGTGAGAGGCTAAAATTGACCCCAGGTTGATCATAAGGTAACGTGTAACCAACGCTGAAAAGCCTTTGACTCTATCTCAATCCCTTGAGAAGTTGCAGCACTTTGAAATAAATTTTGATGGAAAAAATAGTGATTTTTGGCAATTTTGAGATGTCCCCTCGTTGCCATGGTAACAGGAAATTTTAGACTGAGCATGTTGTTACAAAGGCAATGGTCCAGTCAACATTTGTGCCATGTTTGCTTAGTATTGAAGCATTTTTCATAGTTTCATAGCAGTTTGAACTTGTAACAGGAGGCTTTTCAGTGAAAACGGCCATTTTTCACAATATGCTCATGAGGAAAAGGGTTAAGCATAGATACATATACTGTTGGCTAACTTTCAGTTTCATTCTTGATATATCAAATTGATAATGGAATGTTTCAATGTGGAAATTGGACAAGTCCATTTAAAATTTTTTTAGCTGGTTAAGAGTTAAAAAAAATTGAAAAACCAATTTTTGTCAATGGTCACTTTCAAAATTTTTATTTTAAGTGACCAATTAGATTTTTGAATCTGAAAACTGGGTTACAGCATAAGGTTGAATATTTTAATGAAGTTCTTACTTAATGCTTCATTTGTTGTTCAATTATTGTTTTAAATTAATGTATCAGTTTTGTAAGATAATGCAAAAAAATTTAAAGTAAGACAAAAGAAAAAAATAGAAAAAGAAATAATTCATTTATAGTATTTATTTAGTATTCAAGTCAAATAGTTTTAAAAATGTGTTCATTTTGCATGCTAAAGTTTTGTTTTTTTACAATTCATTACCATTCATGTATAGATTGCTGTGATTTTAGATATTTGTAAATTAGATAGCTTTAATTAAGTCACTGAAGAGGTGTTTGATTCTGTTTCCTTTGTTTTATACCCAGATCAGAACATGTAGAGGGTGTGTATTAAAAAAAAATCAATTGTTATTTTTTTATTTTTAGCTCGACTATACGAAGTATATGGAGAGCTGTCCTACTCGCCCCGGCGTCGGCGTCCGCGTCCAGATTTTAGATTAAAGTTTTGGTGCAGTAAAATATTTTTCACTATAACTTTGTCATTTCTTAAGGTATCAACTTCAAACTTCAAATATATGTTCCTTATCATCAACCACATCTTATGTGACAAGGTTCATAACTCTAGCACCAATATTTTCAGATTTATCTCCCCTTGAACTTAGAATTTTCCTTAAAAAATACTATTTTTAGCTCGACTTTTCTATGAAAAGGGGAGCTATCCTACTCGCCCCGGCGTCGGCGTCGGCGTTGGCGTCACACCTTGGTTAAGTTTTTCGTACCACCCCACTTTATTTCAGAAGTATTACAAGTATGGCTTTGAAACTTACCATACTTGTTCACCATCATAACCTCCATCTACAGACAAGAGTACATAACTCTGTCAAGGTTTTTGACAGAATTATGGCCCTTTTTTGACTTAGAAAGTGTATTGAGCTTGGTTAAGTTTTTTGTACCACCTCACTTTATTTCAAAACCATTGGAGGTATTGCTTTGAAACTGACCATACTTGTTTACCATCACGACCTTCATCAACAGACAAGAGGACATAACTCTGTCAAGGTTTTTGACAGAATTATGCCCCTTTTTGACTTAGAAAATACATTGAATATGGGTAAAATCCACTTATTGCCTTAACCCTTTGAGATATTGCTTTGAAACTTTTAATGCTATTTCACATCATTACCCCCATCTGTACGCAAGAGAAGGTAACTCTGTCAAGGATTTGTTTTAAAAATTAAGGCCTTTTATCGACTTAGAATCTTGGTTAAGTTTTTAGTACCAGTCCACTTTTTGACTGAACTGTTTGAGATATTAATTTGAAAGTTGGAATACTTGTTTACAATCATGATTCCCAAACATGTCCAGGAGAAGGTAATTCTGTCAAAGATTTTATTTGAATTATGGCCCTTAACTGTCAATGTTTTGTATTATAGGCAAGCACTAAAAAACTTAAAAAATCTAAAAAAATTCATTCCTATCCACTTGTTCACTTTACCATAAATTATGTCATATAAACATTGCTGTAATATTCAAGGGTATCAAACAACTAGTTCACTTTAAAAATACAGAGATTCTTGTATTGCCTTTTACTGCAAAAACTTTTTTTATTGGCAAGCAATAAAAAAGTCGAGCGCGCTGTCTTACGGACAGCTCTTGTTTACTGATACTTCTTTATTTCTTAAGGGATCAACCTCATACTTCAAATATATGTACCTTATCATCATCCCCATCTTATGTGACAAGGTTCATAACTCTAGCACCAATATTTTCAGATTTATCTCCCCTTGAACTTAGAATTTTCCTCAAAAAATACTATTTCTTACTGTTTCTTCTTTATTTCTTAAGGGATCGACCTCATACTTCAAATATATTTACGTTATCATCATCCCCATCTTATGTGACAAGGTTCATAACTCTAGCACCAATATTTTCAGATTTATCTCCCTTTGAACTTAGAATTTTCCATAAAAAATATTATTTTTTACTGTAACTTATTTATTTCTAAAGGGATCAACTTCATACTTCAAATATATTTACGTGATCATCATCCACATCTTATGTGACAAGGTTCATAACTCTAGCACCAATATTGCAAGAATTATCTCCCCATAAACTTAGATTTATTTACTAGAAAAATGTTATTTTTTATTTTAACTTTTTTATTTTTAAAGGTATCTACCTCAAACTTCAAATACTTATTCCTTATCATTAATTACATTTTATGTGACAATGTTCATAACTCTTGAAGCAATATTTACAGATTTATCTCTCTTTGAACTTAGGATTTTCTTTAAGAAATATAATAACTTCTTTACTTTTTAAGGTATCTACTCCAAACTTCAAATATATATTTCTTATCATTACACAAATGTTGTGTGGCAAGATCCATAACTCTAGCATGACTATTTCTATAATTATTCCCCTTGATCTTGGAATTTATGTTAACAAATGTTATTTTTTTACTATAACTTAATACATTATTATACATAATTGATTTTTCTTTCATAGTTTTGTCCTCCTTACTGCGTCCAGTATTTTATTAGTCGAGCTTCGCTGTCTCCTGTGACAGCTCTTGTTGTTATATTTATCAAATCAAAATTTTTTTCTTTCTTGGATTTAAGATTGATTGATATTTATGATAATCAAATTTAGAAGTGATATTGGAGAGACATGTTACATACTGCGAAAAGAAAGGGATTTTATTATTGTACAACTATTAGCTACAAATCTTCTCTTTTTTAAAATTCAGAACTTCTACATTTCACTTAATTCAAGTCATAAACATTGTTGCCTATATACATTTTTATTCAGAAAATATATCTCTGAGTATTGTTAGTTTACCAAATTTTGTAAATTTTATTAGTTTTTTGCTGCATATTTTACTTTAGCATGTACTTTTCCATTTTCTATTCCTTAGTTTCTTGCCAAAAAAAAAATATTTTGCCATATATGACTCAAAGTTAACTTCCAAGGTTTAAAAGGGCAGCAAACCCTTAACGACCTTAACCTTCAAGGTTAGAGTTTAAGCATTCATTCAATTTCACCACATGTTAATAAGTAACATACATGTACTTTGAATTGGTACATCTATATTTTTTAATTTTTGGACATTTTTATGGTTAATTTGTTTGTTGCTCGTTGTTATCATTTAAAATGATGATCTTATTAAGAGGCTTGAAATAGCTTTCAAATTATGTTAAAATTCATGTCAAACAAATGGTATGAATTTCATAAAATCATTTGAGTCAATCAAAAAACAAAGTTTTTAGGTCATTTGCTTAAAAAGGTACATTATTCCTTATTTGTTCTGTAGCATTGAATCAGTAACTGCCATAATATCATAGATATATTTTTATTTACAATATATATATTTCTTGTATGAACTGTTTATTAGCAATAGTTTGACAGGTAAATTAATGTATTCAAATATTATATTTAAGTTATATTAGTCCATTAATATGTTTACACTGTATTTGTCCTTTGTCTGTATTGAAATACGTTTCCATCCATCTAAAAGAACCTACTAACATTTGTTAGTTGGAAAAAAAATCTGGTTAATATTGTAATTTTAAACTCACTCTGGAAACAATTAATTTATTTTTTTTTTCTTTCTTTTCTACAAAGTTTTCAACCTCCAACGTTTCGAGGGGTTAATCCCCTCTTTATCAAGGAGTTTGCTGTTTATTTTTATAAATCACATAATTTTTATCTTCTTATCTTGCACTATCCATTCTTAGCTTGTGTAAGATAAGAAGTTAGATTTATAGAAATAAACAGCAAACTCCTTGATAAAGAAGGGTAAACCAAACCCCTCAAAATGTTGGAGGTTAAGAACTTTGTGGAATAGAAAGTTATAATATTGTAAAATGTTAACCATTATGATAGTATATTTATTGCATGGTTTGAAGGACTCAGTTCCTAGCAAGTAGGGAAAGTATTTTGTTGCGAGTAACACCATTGTCTTCTTGATGTTGTTTTTGTATATATACATAACTTTTAATAATCTCAGAATGTTGCTAGAATTGCTCT